CTATGTGGATGGCACTTTCTATGATTTGGCTGATTTCTGTAGTCCAGGTGGTTGTGTTGATAAAGATCCAACAATGGCGTCCGGGAACAGGAAAAGCGAAATTTCGCGAGATCATCGTGTCACTGACTGCAGAATACCGGTCGCTTGAGGGAATAGTCGCGATGAATTGCATCGGGTTGATTTTGGCCATGGTATGGAGTATTTTAACCTGGAAGGAGTATTTGAATGGATATCCGACCGCGCCAAGATTGGATGTCGACCCAATCATTGGTCTGCTTATCACGCCCTGGACCGTTTTGGCTGTTGCGATTATTTTTAATGCATATTCTTTCTGCTCGAAAACGTCTCGTTTGACAAAAACCCGCTAGGTCAGACAGCGCTAGAATCTTCTTTGTTGATATAATCTATCTTGATTGTGTACTGAGTATGCGCGCGAGTAGTGAACGTGAAATTTTGAACGCTACTCATAGCCTTTGGGGGATATTACAAATACGTTCGCAGAAACCACGATGTATTTGATGATCCCTTTTTATATCGCTTCGTAATGGTCGATCACATTTTCTAGATACACACAGTCTCACAGTCCCACACTATCAAATTCGATCGTGAAACCTTTCGTTTTCCTTCCACCTTGTTTCGTTACCGTTTTCCTTACTTCTTGCTCTCCTCCGCCCCGTGCTCCACTGCTGGTTTATGATTACCCATAACATGGGTAGGCCCACTCGCTGCACCTCAAAGTGCACTGTCACGTTAAAGTGTGATTTTAGTTTAAACAAACCAGCCAACAGATTCGAATTTGAAAGTGTTCCTTAAGTTGAAGAAAGTTCTTTAAGTTCTCTTGGTTTCTTAAGATGCAGAGCAACCATAACTTTGCACGACACTAACAAACTGAAAACAAAACACACTTTAAGGTGTGCAGCAAGCGGGCATAATGAAGGTTAATTTTATTTCGTTTTAAGGTGCTCAACAGTGACACTAAAAATGTTTTACGAACATCGTTCGTTAATGGTCCGATTAATGGTTCGATTTTCATATGTAGTTTCTGCATTCGTAATAAACTGTCCTAGCGTTCACAAGGGGACTGCTTTTTGAGGTTGCAATCTGTTGGTCGGTATGTTCTTTTCTATTGAGAAGCCACAATCTTATGTTGGTCGGTATGTTCTTTTCTATTGAGAAGCCACAATCTTGTGTTTGTTCGTTGTCGGCATGGTTGTAGTCTGTAGATGTGCGAAATTGAAATTGTTGTAAAATATCAAGAATTGCTTCACCTGTCCGTTGTGTAGTATGTCATGTTTATATGTCATGTTACTCATGTGGTATGTCATGTTCATCGTCTTAACAAATTAAAATAGTGTAAATTAATAGTGTTTGACCAGACTGACTATTTTCTGGTTTCTGGTTCCGATATAATCAGTATTAACCGGGACATCTTGTACGCTCTCGCCACAACTTTTCACAACCGTAACATTCATGACCGACAGCAATATTTCGAATTCGTAGCCGATACTGGCAACTATAGTCATTGCAAACTTCAGGGAAATAGATGCAATACATACTTAAACGAAAACAGTGTTATTCTTTATAATTTTTGCGTATTAACATGATCAACACATTTACAGTTTTTCCGTATTAACATGACGCATACAGAGAATTAATATCGAGTAGCAAATTGAACAGCACCCGTACTATTAATTCCCTTAAATGTTAGGAACGGAAAAATAATAGCGGGACCGACAAAAACCATCCATATCGAAAAAGAAAAATACGATAAAAATGTAAAGTTGTGATATTTCGAAACTGTAAAGTCCCTTTTTACATAAGCACCTGTGACTTCTCGATGATCTAAACACGCTACAGTATATGAAAAGATATGAGCAGTGTGATGAAGAGAGTGATATAAATGCAGTTGTGGAGCATTTTGTAAATGATCTCTCAGCAGTGGTTGACAGATGTTTCCCTGAGCGCACCCGCCGTATGAAACGTGCATCTCCACCGTGGATGAATGACGACATAAAAACTTTGATAAAAATTAAGGACGAAATGTATGACCAGAAATGCAAGTCACGTGGGACACCGACATATGATCAGCAGGCTCGGGAGTATAAACGTGTGAAGCTGCAAGTTACCGCGGCCATATTGAATGCTAAAGAAGAATTTTTCAAAGAAAATCAGCGCAGAAGTGATGTTATATGGAAAGAAATTGGCAGAACACTGAAAAAAGATCCGAGTCCGAGTGCAATTGCAGTTGATTTGAATGGGATTAATCGCCATTTCGTGACGATGGGCCAACACGGAATTCCACATGATCCCCCAGAGCAACCGCCTCCGGGGGACGAAAGTAACGCTTTGTTTTCTAGGTTCGCGCATGTTGAAACGGCAGTGGTGGCAGGAATACTGCATCGAATGGCATCCAAAAAGAAAAGCCCCGGGCCAAATGGGATGCCACCGAAACTACTGCAGAAGATCGCGCCATTAATCGCCCCAGTGCTAACGCAGATGGTAAATCGGTCGCTAAACGACGGAGTGTTCCCTTCTGTCTTCAAAAAAGCAGAAGTTTTCGCATTACCGAAATGTAATTCCCCCCAGTAGTGTGTTGATGATTTCCGTCCGATATCGTTGCTTTGCAATTTCTCGAAAGTATTCGAGAAATGTGTGCAGCTGCAGTTGGTGCGCTTTCTGAAAGAGCGCGACATCCTTTCCCCGAATCAGTCTGGATTCCGAGACGGCCATTCCTGCGAAACGCTATTACTAAAAACTACGGAAAAGTGGAAAAAGGCATTGGACAGTAGAAGTGTGACGGCAATGTGTTTTTTAGATCTTAAAAAAGCCTTCGACAGTGTAAGCCATTCGCGACTGCTAAAAAAGATGAAGCAAATTGGAGCTGGAGATATCGTGGTGAAGTGGCTGCACAGCTACCTCACCGGAAGAGTACAGCGGGTGCGAGATGGTAAACGAGTGTCTGACTGGCTACCGTTAACATCTGGTGTACCACAAGGGACTGTGCTGGGACCGATTCTTTTCACTATATACATTAATGACGTGCTGACGTTGGGAGCAGGCGATTGCGATGTCGACTGCTTTGCAGATGACACGATCGTTCATGCAAATGGACGAACGAAAAGCATTGCGGCCGCGAAACTGAACAGTGGACTAGTGCGCGTCGGCCAAGCACTGGAAGAAAATTTGTTGCAGGTAAACCCAAAGAAATGCCAAGCGATGTATTTATGTTCTGACCGAAATACAGAACCGGATCCGGAAGTTGTCATTAACGGGTCGGTAATTGGCATTGCGAAATGTGTACGGTATCTTGGTGTTGAAATTGATAATCACCTGAAGTGGAACGAGCAGTTCAGAAAGGTACAACGGAAAGGGAATTTTGGCATTGCCATGATTAAACGGGCACAACAAGGGCTCAGCATGTCACAGCGCAAAGGTCTTTATCACGCCTGCTTCGGTTGCCATATCGCACACCAGTCGCCGGTATGGTCTGCAGCGTCTTTGACTGAGCGCGACAAGCTAGCCGGACTACAACGTAAAGCTCTGAAAACCATCACTGATTACAAGATGCCGGTTACTCCGGAACTGTATCAGAAGTTGGGTATTCCTCACATATTCGACCGATGGCGTCAGAGCGATGCGGTGTGGCTGTTCAAGTTCTGGAACAAAGATCAGTTCCCGCTTCCGGCCTACCTCCTGGACATGATCCAAGTAAAAGATAACACCACGCGCTACAACTTGCGGAAGCCGGCCCGGATCAATGTTACGCGGGCAAAGAAAGTTATCGGAGGGTGGACTATGGAAATGCGGCTAAAGCGTCTTCTTGATAAAATTCTTGCTGTTAATCCTAAAATTCTCGAAGCAAGTTCTGTACCTTCTTTCAAATTTCTACTCAGATCTGTTAAACTCTCCTAAATGTTTTTGTTAGCAGAAAATTGTTTTTGTTCGACCAGACTTGAAGTCCCTTCGGGGTTGTCTGCTCTTGTGCCGTAATAATAATAATAATAATATCAAGTAGGCATTGATTATGTATCATTTCTCAGCAGACTCCCGATACCTTTTTCGTTGTGCTTTGTTTTAAGTGCTTTTATTTCTTAAAATAGCTGCGGTATGTGCAGTGGAAAATGCACCAGTTCGGGCATGCATGGGTGCCGGCCCCTGCTGACATCTCAAAAATCTTTAAAAAAATCTTTCTCAACTCTGAGATTACTGCCGGTGTACATATTGTGCAAGGAAAAGTTCAGGTGGAGATTTCAGGGCGTCAGGGTCAGCCGAGCAGGCTTGGATCCTCCTCCCATATGGATTTAGTTTGTACAAAATATTCTCCAAGCTCTTCACAAGAGCGTCATGGTCCAGTCCCAAAGCCGTGATCCCCATTCGGGATGGGTGATAATAGTGATAATAGGATGGGAGACAGGTTAAGTGAAAACTGTTTTTTTCGATATTCTCAGCCGGGCATATACGAGGCCAAGAGTGTTTCCCGATGAGCCACCTGCAGATAATATTCAAAAGTTATTTTGATTTCCCTAGTTCAGTCGCTGCTCAGTGCTCAGTAAGATAATAATCTGCGATATCAAATCCATATCTAAACACAAAAAATTATTGATATGAACTAGACTACTTTAATACTAGAAACAGCAATATTATGCGCGGACTTTAAGGTAAGAACTCGTATTCAATATTAGACCTAACATCAACCATACCCCGCGCAAATTGCGCGGAATAAATACCGCGGCAATATGTGGCCGGTCAGCGGCTGCCCCCTCCGAAAAATTTGGTTTTTTGCTTGAAGACAGGGTAGGCAGAGAGACTTAAAATAGTTTCACCGGCAATGGTCCAGTGGGTGACCAAAACCAATTTTAATTTTTAAAGGAAATCGTGGGCGCAACCATTAACCATTATTAAAGGTTCAGTGGGCGCAACCAGAAACCATTTTTGAGGATGCAGCTGCAGCCGGAAGTAACCTTATGTATCTTAACCCTTGCTACACTATAACGCAGCATAGATAAGTAATTTAATATTACTTTAAATACTGCTGCCAGCTGCAGCTGTGCAGATATATCTGCAGTCTGCAGATATATCTATATAGATATCTGTACAGCATGTACCTTTTTCATTTAGGCGATTTTTTGTTTCGAAGGTGTTCGACGCTGAAGTTGAAAGCGTAATGTTTTGACTATTATAAAAATCGCGGCAGAAGCGCAGTAGTGGAAATGTGTGTCATCTTTATCGCTATAAATAAAGATCCAGCTAAAAATCCGTATCGCATTTGCTTGGCTTCGAACCGCGACGAATATTTCGCCAGACCGTCACTGCGCATACACCGATGGGATGAACCGTACGGAACTATTATTGGCGGAAGAGATGGACAGCACGGTGGGACGTGGCTAGCGATCAACACTGATAACGGACGGATAGGCGTCCTACTAAATCTTCGCGACAGAGATATGCTGTCTGTTCAGAATACCGAGAAAACCAGTCGGGGAACCCTTGTGCCTAGTTATCTGACATCATCATTAAGCACTGAAGATTTCATCGAGAACTTGAAAATGACTGCACACTGTTATGATCCTTTTATCCTTATTATGCTGGAAGCGGTTACAGACGGTAACTACGACGGATACTGTTTTTCCAACAATAAATCCTACGTGAAGAAATTCGCCTGGGACGAGCAGCAGTCCGAAGTTTTTGCTGGCTTTGGGAATTCCCATCCCGATAATCCGTATCTCAAGGTGAAAAACGGGCTTGGTCAGTTTATAAATATTGTCAACACAACGCCGGCCACAACGGTGCCCCTTGTCCAGCCCATCGGGGACCGTTTTACTGATGCGCTGTTGAAATTTCTTTCCTGCACGGATCGTCATTTTCCGGATGAAACGCTAGTCGCATGCTTTCCCGTTGGCTTCCCGGACGAGTTCCTGGCGGCGTTGAGTTCCCTGAATGTTCAGGCGTATGAGAAAGGTTACGGCACGCGGGCGCAGACGCTGTTGTTAGTGGATTTTGAGCGAAATTGTTTCATGTTAGAGAAAGAAATTATTCCTGTTATCAGCGAGTTGGAAACTAGTGACGTTTCTCACGTTGGAGAGCGTACGACAGAATCGTCTGCCATAGTGTCGATGAATGTTGCTCTTAATTGCTCCTCCAGCAATCTTGGTAGCGCTGGGACTGCTGACGTGAAAATTTCTGAACCTTTATAGTTTATAGCTATTGTTACACCTTAGCCGTTTGTGATACAATTATGTGATTACCGAGAAAAATTATTAAAGACACAAATACTTTGTACTGCTTAAAATAAAAGTGGAACCTTCAACTAGTTACTACATACTAATTTCTATCTCTTTTGTAAGTATTTGTTAAGCACACCCATTCACCCTTCCAGAGAAAATTCAAACGTCTTGGAAGTTTCACCGCGGTGTTGCCGCAGCATTAATTTTGCTGGCATAAGTACAAGTGTGTACTTGTACAATACGCCTTGACCAGCTTCCGCTAGCTGCAGTGCGAACCGGGCAACCAGTATAATTTATCTGCATTCTGCCATAAAAATAAGCTGAAAGTTACTTACACTAACCAGTGAAAGGAGTTCGAGGTGAGGTACTTCAGCTCATTTGTGGTTAGAATTTATTTCATGATCAGTTTCATGATCAGTGAAATTCACCGCCAACTCACCCTCAGTGGTCACTGGTACGTCACCCGTCATTCGTGGCCGTATTTCAATGAACTTGATTCGATTGACCTTACAATTGTTAGCTACTATTGTTTACTTGATTCGATCGACCCCTGGCTAGTTACTATAGTAAGTATCATTCCGGGGTCCCGATTCCATAGTACGCAACGTCCGGTTCATATCTTATAAACAAAAACATGCACATACGCCGCCGCCGCATAGCATATGACATTGTTATACTTAAACTTTGGCTTTTGGTATTTACGTGGAACCCACGGTTTTGAAAAAACTAGAAAGGTCAGCACTGCCAGTGGATATGACAAACTGAAAGCTGAACACTTTTTGCGCCAGACTCCACAGAATCATTATTTAGATTCGTAATTACGTATAACGGCGGAATACCGGTGTAATACTTGTTTTAATTAATGCGGTTTCCTCTCTTGGAATATTTAGCTACTCGGGTAGTGCCATGGTTGGGAATGAAGGCATCTATTTTCTTCTATGCTGCCATTACGAATCATTGTTACTGAATACTTAAGAAAAACTGATGAGCAAAAGTAATCTAATTTAAAAAAGCTCCTACAATCCTAGGTGGTACTCACCACAGAAGCAGCTCGAGCTCAGTAACTCGAGTTCTGTGCCGCCCGTTTTGGCAGAAACTTTTACACGGGATGCTAGCAAACAGTGGCCGACTAGTGACGGAACTATAGCTATCCTTTTTGTTCCTCCACAAACTAAAGTTGTAATGCAAATCTTCCTTCACCATTCTCAATGTTCATTGCACGAGATGCTCCAGGGCTCAAGCCAGGCAGGGAAGAAGAAGTCGTCCAGAACGGGGAAGGTGCTCCCGGTCCGGGAGCACTGCTAATTGTAACAAACAAAGAAGCTGCTTCCCAATCGAAAAACCCAGTAATTCCTTCTGAAAAATGATTGTCCGAAACCACTGACATGTTTTCGAGAGATTATGGCGAAAACCCAAATTTTAGGATAATTTTGAATAAAGGGGATCCAGTTCCTAAAGCATTTCCCTCATTGTCAGAATCCAACGAGGCAACGCCGCTTCCGTACTCGGAACAATGGAAGGAGCGGCAGCGTTAAAACTTTTATGGTTATAATAATTGTTTTTGACCCGTAATGTACCCCATTGTATGAAATAAACATCAAATTTTCCTGTAGCTGAACTGGTCATTTTTTGCCAACAAGTGTGGCATAAACTTAAATTTTTCCTGTCTTCAGGATGATGAAATCTTGACTCCGTCGAATTCAAAGTAAGTATGAACTGTATGATTGAATGTTGTGGCTGTCTGCAAAAACTGTTAAAAAGTAAAGTTGCTTGCGACGGCTAGGCAGAAATTTTCCAAAAAGTGTCCACACTTGGCTGAATAACCATCTATGATTCACTGACCTTTGATTAAAGAGCGCAATTTCGAGAGATTATGGCGCAAACCCAAATTTTAGGATAATTTTGAATAAAGTGGTCCAGTTCCTATAGCATTATAGCTGAACTGGTCAACGGTCACAACTTAAGTTGTCCCCTCGATTTACTGAACAACCTGCTGTGGTTTTTGTGCATATTCGAGTATTCATAGTAATTTCTGGCTAACAAAACGTTGTCATGTGCTCTGAAAAATTTAGCAATTCTTATACGAGTAATGAAAGTAAGACTATTATTCTTATGCGAGTAATTCTTATACAAGTAAGACTATTATAGCGCGCGTAGCATATGCTAGAGTAGTATTCTGGATGTAGTTACATGACTTATCTAATGTAGTTGGTAAAATTCTCGATATAGTTACATCCAATTAGCATAAAGATTTCTTTCTTTGATAAATTAGATTTTAAATAGGTACGGATGGGCCTCGCTTATAAATATCTGAGAGTCCCAGGTATTACAGATCATGCAGTCTGAATCGACTTTATAAATTAAAACTCCGGATTCTTGTATTTGTAGGTTTGCTACAACTACGACTTTGAGTTATAAACTTATGTACTTTTTCCCTTTCACGTTTGTGTATCGCGATAGCGTTATGTTATGATTAATTTCTTCTGTGAACATAAATTTGCATATATAGGGAAGCTAGCGCTTTTTCGGTCATAATTGACAAACCATTCACGCCGGAAATAATTACAGAAATAATTACATTTATGCAGTTATCCATTATTAAAATCGATTATTCACAACTGGCCAATGGCCATTCTTCCGGCGCTTTGTAACTGCGCGTTGATGATATGAACTTGCATATACTGTAATTATGCTACACGCTCATACACATGTGTAAAACCACTGCAGAACTACAGTTGTATTATTTTACTACCTACGGAAAGCTACAGCGTTATAATTTATGAATTATGTATATATATTTATGTAGGTACGATGCCTGCGTAATACAGTAATGCACGCCCCGTGAAAGCATTCGCAGTTTTTAACTGCAGCACCAGTTAACACGATCACAGTTTATAATATTAGCCTCTTTTAGGAAATCATTAATTATCGCTTTATTGATTGCAGCACCTACACTTACAGTTCCTTAAGTCTGTATTTCTGGTCAATCAGGAAAATAAGCTGTTCCGCAAATTTTTTTAAAATGAGCGAAGCATAAAACCGTTATTATTACTTATTTATTTATTTTGTATAATTCTGGTAGCAATTTGCAATCTGAAAACAAACTACGTATGATATTAGAATTAGTGCAGAATTGCTGTGTTCTTGTCCTCGTCTGCAACAGATTTGATTTGGCACATGGCGGTATTAAATATTGCATACGTATTAGAGTAAATGTCTCTGTAGATTACACGTATTAAATGTTGTTCACAGTAAATAGTAGGTTGTCCTATTTGTGCGGCCTACGGTGTAAAAGTACCAACAATTTCACCAGATTTGCAAAAGAAAATCATTTGACTTATCATTCATCAACAGTTATTGCGTACATTGAACTCGATACAGTACACGAATGATTAGCTGAGCCAGGCCCGTACGTATACGTTCTGTCAAAAATGATTATGATGATCCCACCTGACCTACCGTATGACTAAAATTTCAGTTTGTTGGGAAATGACTAATAATTTAACGAGCCTCCTATGACGCACCTGGGTTGGGTTTTTGTTGGTGCGCCACTGATCGTTCGTCTACCGGCACGGGCAATCTAATTCGCCAAAATTTTCTACTAATTCTTGCGCGTAATCACGATATCGCGCCGTCGAACGTACTACTTGGCGCGTACTGTACAATACGTCCGGAAACACTCTGAATGCTGTAAAACGTTGGCTACCAGCCATACATACACTTCAGTTTGCGTAAGCCAAAAACGTATTGATAGACGCTTCCTTAACGTTCCGCAATCCGCTATTTCTGCATTTGTCTGCGAAACTGTGTTTCAGGATCACTTCCTTCGGTCGACATTACAATTTTTTGCCATCCTTGAAAACTGTTTGGAAATTATAATTATTTTGCCGGCGTTCTTTGCGTTATAATCGTGTACGTGCGATATTACTTAAACGCGGCACGGTATGATCATATGCACTCACTGCTATCGGCTATATTTATCGTGACGGCTACGGTTGAACGTTCAGAATTTGCACTTTGCCAGCTCGTTTACTACGTCCAATTCAGGTTTATCAATGGATGTGTGTGAGTGAACTCGGATGGTGTCAACAATACCCTGATCAGCCTGATGCATTATTTTCTATGCCGCTGTACAAGCGCGATTTTATGGATAACCAACTGTAAAGCTTCTATGCTGTTGTGATCAGCGTCTGACGCCGTTTCATGACGATTGAACTGTCGCACGGTTTCTTGTATCTTTATTCAGTGCATGATGCTGCCAGAAGTCGGAAAAAAACACACATCTCCTGCAGCGCACAGTACACAGATACCGACTGACCGTCGACCAGTGCAGCCGGGTATGTCACGCTTCCAGCCATCGGGCGGCGTCTCTCCCCATCATATGCGCTACAATGGTGTCCCCTTGATATCCTATTCCGTGCATAAGAAGAAACGCCGTCCACCAACCGGTGGTTCCGGTCATAAGTCGGGATCCCATTCACACAAACACGCACATCCCAATCTCTGGGATGACTATTATCGGTGTTTGGAATATGTGGGTGAACCACTTATGCTGATTCCGAAGTCCAGCGGCGGCGGCGCACGGATTCCGCATGGATTTTATTATGCTGTACCGGCGTATGCGTCATATCCGGCCGTGCTGAACTATCCCGGTGAATATTTTCATGGAATTACTCAGCATCAACCCGCCGGTCCAGTACACCCGCCACATCATCGTGACTCATTTTCCAGCTGCTCCTCCTCGTCGGATACGGCGAGCAGTGGATCATCTTCACCTGTACATTTCTCCTACTGGGATTCTGCTAATGCTGTGCAAGACACCAGTAAGTAACTGCTTATTGTTAATGTATATAGCGAATTATCGCACATTTAGTTTTCTGCATGCGCCGCAGTCATAATTCGGCATGTCAAAACATTGCTTAATTATTACGAAACAAACTCGAATTTTGCGGGTTACATTCCTGATTCCAGTGAAAGCCGGCTTTTTGACTCGTGGGAACAGTTTTCCGTCAGATCTGTTAATAATTAAGCGGTTTGACATTATTGTAGATATTTATTTTATCAAATCAAAGTAAGTAAATAATTGGGCAACAAATAGGCATGTAGTGTATCCAAGTGCCATTTCTCACTTGTAACCTCGTTTCCTTTGAGCTTGGCGGCCTTTGCTTCGGACAACAAATTCTAAACAGGTCAAATACAAAGATAGCTGACACATGTGCACTTGCGTAAGCCTTAGCGGAAATAAGGTGTTTCACTAGAACTGATGATTCTTCAGCGGTTGTTTTGTACTATAGTGCTCGTACGCATGGTTTTATGAGTATCTGTATCGAAATGATTCACGCTTAAAAGAATTTTATCGTGTTAAATTTAGTGTTTTCCAACCGGAAGCTAAACTTACGGTTGGATAATGTTTTCAACGAATAACGGAATAAGTACATCGAAAAATAATTTTTTGGTTGTTGTTATTTCGAATGCGGGTTTTCCTTATCCCATGGTGATCGCGAAAAGTGCCGGTCGGTATTTCTGGCACACAAGTCATTTCTATGGTAGCTTGTAATCGTAAGATGTTTCGATCGGCGCATACATAACAACTTTGTGAACTATCAGCACGTTTTCATGAGTTCGTTCGGAGTGATTATCTGAGGTGACCGGTGATTTTAGCTTGTAGGCTTTGTTGGTAACGTTGTACGACAAATGTTTGGGTTCAACAAGTCCATTCACTCCGTTGTCAAGCTGGCGCGTTAATTTTCTTGACTACGAGTACAAACTGAACGTTGAACGGGAGTCATTAACATTATAAGTATAATTTATCGTTCACCGAGGTGCAAGTCTGAATTATATTACAAAATGCTTCCGTATTTGTGCGTCGCACAAGTAAAGTTAATTTCTTTGTTGGTACTAATATTTTGGTTTGGGAAACTCATTTAAATGCAACTGTAATTGACAGCTGTAACGGTGGTTAAACCTGTGCCGTTGAAATTAATATGTTTGTGGAGTAATTTGCGTGTACACGACGATTTAATAATGAGTTCGTTACAGTATTATTTTTTTGTTTTGGCGAAAACTGTTTTATTCAAAGTTCCAAGGGCACAAGTATCATTTCCAGGCCAGTTAAGTTGTTTTGGTTGCAGTATGCGCGAAATCAGTGATTGTGATAGCGCAGTGTATTTATAATTACAAAATAAACAAATGCATGCGGTGTGATCAGTTACCGAAGCGCAGCGACCAATGGTCGAAAGCGGTTAACTGTAGTTTCGGTTTTCGGACATCTTGTCTTTAAAGTGTAACGACCGGCAATGTGCGCTATAGAATTGTTGTGTTATTGAACTGTAACGAAATTGGTCTGATTCTTGAAACAGTTTTAGGGGATATGCTGAATCAATCTGAAAACGGTTCCGGCAGACGGTGCCGGCTTTTTAGTGAGTCAGTCCGCGATCGTAAATCCCATGTCGTTAGTAGGAGATCGGACGAGATATTTCGCATTAGTAACACCGCCCCAAGCGTGAATATTTGTTTGTCAACAATAATATCGCTTCCAGAACATTAGGTCAGGCGACTAAGAAGCTGCGAGAAAAGCTATTTATCGCAACACGCACGGGCGTAAATGCGCAGGTGATCTGAATTAGCTGAATCCTGATAGAAATTTTACGTACATGTGCTGGTAAATAGCACAGTAGAATACTGAACTTGCTTCCGGGTCCTTCAACTAGATTAATAACCTCTCGAGTATCGTTGTTGACATATTGTAATTCCTTGATTTTGTGCAAATAATGGATTTGGCTGTGCATAAAATGTAGACGACTACCGGCGTGCAAACGATGACAGATGACAGAATCAAAACTGTGATTCCTGAAACAGTTACTTTACTTTGTTGCAATCACACTTGTCCGTAGATTTTTAAAGCAATTGCTTTCGTAGAACTAATGCGATTTTACATTTTCTGAAGTGTTTGTATTATTTCACTTTGTAAGTATGTATGTCGTGGTCTTGGCACAAATAGAAAATCGGTGACGCTGTGGCCTTGAAAGCACAAAGTGCTGGTACGCTCAACATGCTTGTATCGATTATGTACATCACATGAACGGAGTTTTTTACTGTTGTCTTTTCCTGTGAGACTAAATTTAGAAACGCGCGTGTCCGAATTCAAGCTAATAATATTTTTACACGATGAGCGGCAGCGCGCCGACAAAGATACACTTTACGATTAGTGGTCGCTAGAGGTCACTTGCTGCTGTAACAACTATTAAATGCAACTGGTAACTGACTAGTGCTAATGTGTTGTACTTCGTAATACCCATCGTATGAGATGCGCAGCGGATAAAAAAACTAGAACGAAACTATAGTACCGCAAGGTATTTTCACTTAACAAGTAAGTTATAAAGCTGCCACGAAAACTAGGGTAGGAGTTAACTGCATTACTAATTTGTATGACAGAATAACATAAGTAAAATATTTCTGAAAAACGCACAAGGTTCGGGATTCAAACAAGCATGACGATCGTAGTCCGTAGCTTACTTTGTAGGATAACTGTAATACTACAACAGCACTGACATGGCAAAGTATTTATTAGTATTCTGTAATTTTTCAGATATTCAAACGAATAGTCCGCGACGGGAATGGATATACAAATCACAAGAGAATATTGTGCCGGAAATAAGTCTTGGTAAGAGTTATTTTTATATTTCAAGGACGCTTCATATTCTGGGATTATTTATAGCAAGCACATATCATGTGCTAGCAGTAACACTCGTATCCATATGGTGCATATTTTCAGTTCCGACAGCGGTTGCTCACGTTTAAGTTATTTAGTTTAATGGCGATAATGAGGTCGATGAGCTTAGCGCTACCTCGTGATGGTAGTATTAATAACTTGGCACAGAAAACATAATATTGCAACGTACGACATCGTTTGTTGTTGCGGTACCGCCATTCTGCAGTAACGTCGAGCAAGTTTACTAAACAAACGAAAGTGAATAAGAGCCTCTGTGTAATTAATCATACACAAATAATTAGCCGCAGGAAGTGAAAGCAAAATGTTGACCAAGGGGATTTTCTCACATCCAGGTGTGACCTTGCGGGTCATGAGCTACAACATTCTGGCGGATCAGTACGCATCCAAAAAAATGTACTCATATTGCCCGGCCTGGGCCCTGGCATGGAGTTACCGGAAAGAAAAAATTCGAGAGGACATTGAACTGCACGCACCTGATGTCGCTTGCCTTCAGGTACAATTCACCGCGTTGTACTGGCCCGGTTGGTCAGCGTACCACAACATAACCTAATACTCGTATCCTCATGCGCACTACAAATGAATGCTGAATTAGTAGCTGTACAAACCTTGTCAGATATATATTAATGCTTACTTTGCGACAAAATTGTTAACGTACGGAACACTTGTATATGTGTGTTAAAAGTAATACTCGCACTGTCGTATTTTGAAAAAAAACTGCAGTTTTAATTTTCTGATTTAATTTGCAAAGTAGTAAGAAAGGGAATGGTGAAATTTATTTATTTGCCTCCAACAGTTACTTATATATGAAGATGTCCATGTAAATACCGCTTTTCGCTCGCATTGAACATAATATGTTGTGGTAGACGTTTGAAGTTGTTTGTATTGATAGGAAGTGGCTATGGGAGAATTCTATCAATATTTTCTCGACACTCTACGGATGCAAGGCTACAATGGCATTTTTTCACCTAAATCGCGTGCCAACACCATGGACACAAAGAATCGTCAGAGTGTTGATGGATGTGCTGTTATTTTTCGCAATGATCGCTTTGAACTGGTTCATCAGGTACAGGCGCATAGACATAATACTGTAGCCGGACAATTGCATTTATTTGATTTTCGTTCATAAACTTTTATCGTGTCGAAAGTTCGTTCGCTCTTTGATGGGTTACCGTTGCCGACACACTTTCACGCGACGACATAAGAAATAGTCTGCAATAAAATGGGTGTTTTTGCTGTTTTGCAGCACCTGGTCGAATTCAATCAGCTGGCCATCAAAAATGTTCAGTTATCCAAGAACGCCGACGGATCAGATGATATGATCAACCGTGTTATGACGAAGGATAACATTGCCCTTTGTGCCCTGTTACGCGTCACCGAAGCAGCAGTTCCCAGCTATATTCTCGTGGTCAACGCCCATATTCACTGGGACCCGGAGTGCTGTGACGTCAAACTGATACAAACTATGCTGCTCATGTGTGAAGTGGAGAAGTTGTTGCGTCAAATGAAAAGCGATTTTAATGTGGAAAATATTCCAATGATCTTTTTGCGGAGATCTTAATTCTTTGCCTGACTCAGGTAAAAACAAAGCATTCCGCCAACAAACATACCGAAAATTGGGAATTTTGTGATTGTGAAGTTTTGTCTTTTCGCTTCTTTGATAGTCATAAAAATAATTTCAATTTGCAGGAGTAATTGAATTTTTGGAGAATGGTCGAATTTCTGTAGACCATCAGGACTTCAAAGATCTGCCGTATCGCGCTTGTTTACAGGTAAATAAATATTTGCAGCGAGTTGAATAATTTAGTGAATAATTAAGGATATCGGAATGAGCATTTCATATTGTTTTTAATTATAAACTGTAAGCACTTATTGTGATAGTGATAATCGGCATCCCCAAAGGAAACGTAATTGTAAACAGAATTCGCAGCAATATTTATTTATGAAAATGATTGCAGAAACTGAGCAGCCAAGGACGCTTGACTCCTGAAGGACATTTCACCCATCCATTCGCCTTTACATCCGTTTACAACCAAGAAATGCCCTTCACGAATTTCACGTGCGTCAGCAGATTTCCTCTCAAATGTCGTTGTGTTTCTTTTACGGCCAATGTTATTGACCTTTACATTTTTTGAACTACAGGCCGGAATTTAATGGAGTCATTGACTATGTGTTCGTCAGTAAGGACTTCCATACGCTCAGCGTACTGGGCGCCATTGAGAACACGTGGATAGATGAGAACAAGCCGGTCGGATTTCCGTGTCATCAAGTGCCATCCGATCATTTGCCCCTCGTGTGCGAAGTGGAATTACGCATGTAATCTACTCGAGTCAGCTGGACATTCGGCCGTTTCCGGTTACGACATCAGACGTTTATGACCGTCACTGTGTTCAACCTCGTGCGCCTTTGAATAGGAGAACTGCAGAAAACAATTGGCCTTCTGTGCATTATATGGATTGTTTAAGCCTTTACGGGAATGCGGATATATTGTTATGCATTACAGCGAGTTCAGCACGGTGTCAATAATTCCTACGTTTTTTTGCCTGTGGCTTTTTTTGTTGATGGATTGTCTATACAATGTCCCGGTTTTTTATGCAGACTATGGTGGCGGGATTTTTAAAACTTCATTTTGTAAAGCTATCTTTTGGGGTGGTTTTGATAGCGTACAATCGTGCTGATGCAGCCGATGTGCAATACTTAATAAGGGCTTTGTTATAATAATTTTGTATCTTTTAGCACACAGCGTTGGGAATGTTGGGCCTTATGGTGGTTGTGGTATCTTTCATGAAATTTGGTGCAAGCTGTAATTTTGTTTATATTTTAAACGTTTAAAGATGTCTAATTTCTGAATTAAAGAATATGCGACTGTTGTGATCTTATTAGGTGATAGGACCATGCGAATTTTTTGTTACCACTTATTATTGTTGAATTTCGTTACCAGTTTATGCTCACACCAGAAATGACCTTTACCAACTTCAGACAAACCTATTAACAGTGTGGAAGTGAAAACGTCTAGTCAATTGCGGTACTAATGTTTGTCTTCGACACACTTGTGCAGACAGTCCAGAATTGTGATGGTGTACTTGTTAGTTATTACCATCTTTTCGGGACATGCACCCTCCATATTCAATTCGGCACAACTGGGTGAACGAAAGATTTCGAAAAGAACACCAGATTTTACTCTTCTGGTTGATGTTTGTGCCGGGTTTTTTTCGTGCATTTGATGGCCATCATAGCCTGACTTGTGAGTTTGGTTTTCAGACGGAAGTTCTAGCCGGCACACACACGTTCCGGAGTTTTCCTCATGCGTAGAATGTTGTTGCTGCATTCTTGCCATTCCCGGCCATTTCTGCACTCTGCAACAAATGGCACTGCAAAGAACGCTCCATTTCGTTAATTATAATTTTTTATATCGACACATGACACTGACACTTGTTCATACACTTCCATAATCCACATTAATAATGCTGTATAATTAGTCTGCATTACAGTTTCTTTGAAGTATAGAAGTACAGATAGTAGTACAGACAGTGAGGGGAAGGTAATGCAGAATTCTGACTGTGGGTAACATAATGTCCGTACATGTACAGCCCAAAAGATATTAATGTACCTAGCGAAAGGCTGTACACGCATTGCTCACCAATAACAACGCGATGATTCACACGTAAAATACAATCATGAGTACGTATTTTTTATTTTTGAATGAACGAAAAAATAATTATTATCCTTGGATCGCCTTCATATTATGTAGGAACAGGAGCCGGGGCAAGTACGACCTGTGCAGTCAGTGGTACGTACGACCTTCGCATAGTCGTCTTCGAGCGCCATCTGTCTACCCCGACCACTGCAGCGGTCTACATTGACACCTACGCAGCGAAGATCTTACAAAACATGACAAGACTGAATGGTCAGCCTAATCGGAATTCAGACCTGTGGTAATTAATTCAGATTCAGACCTAATCGAATTTCCTTAACTTTATTTCGAATTTTTTGGACTGAACAAGTGTTCTAGATCTGTAGTTTGCTTGGGGGTTATATATTTATTTATATTTATTCGAAGATGGAGCAAATGGAGGATAGGGATGTATCAGATAGGCCCACGGAAGAAAGCGACATAATCACCACTGGTCGCACACTAAAGGTAGGCCGTTTTCCAACTTTTGCGGAACTGTGAAACAGTAAAATGAGTGAAGCCTTTAAAAAATTCAGAGACTGCGTCTTTAGAATCCGAATAACTCGATGCTATTGTTGTTTATACTCCTACTGTGTTAACTGTTATACATAAGGTGACCATGTGGTAGTTTTAATTTGAAACGGCTTTTTACAGGAGACAGATCGAAAGCACGCGATGTTTCGACAATATCTGAAAGAGCATGGCGTCAACGACTGGATCACAAAAGGTGAATTTCTTCTTGAATTATTAGAATTCTTAAATTTCTAATGTATTCTTGAATTTTATGACCAGTATGGCTTCCGCTATTCCGAGATATCGTCCGATATGTGGATGTATCATTTCCTAGTCCTACGCAAATTTGATAACTCTTATAGTGACAGTTATTGAATTTGTTCATGATTCAAGTTCGACTTTCCGTAGGACTGAGAAATTTGCAAGCACTGCCGCTGGACGAGATGAGTTCGCTGGACGCGATCAGGTATGTACGTAAAGTATGACGTCATGTCGGCACTTCCATGATACTTACGAGTTAATTAAAATTAACGATAAAGAGTTATCATTTCTAACTTTTGCGGACTACTGCAGTATCATGATTAACTACAACTTGTCGGAAGAAACTGGATTTTAGAATATTGTTTTATATTTTGGAATTTGAGTTTAGCGGTTCGCATTTCGTAGTACTCGAGCGGGAGATTACGGAAAGTCAAATAATTTTTTTCTTCATAGTTCGTACTCTCAGAGTCGAGATTTGCGGTGAATTCACACCTTCGCAGTGATTTACTCCCTACGCTGTCGCCATAATTATTTGGCGGTTACACTTTATAAGATATGAAATCGTATTCGTGTTCTCTTAACGTCTGCGCTGCAACTTTTTGCTGCATTTTAGAAAGCTGATGCAGCTCCTTGGCTACGAGATGCCGCTGCAAACGGAAAAGGACTGCGAGGATATAATGGAAGAAATCCTGACACTGCGCCGCAGAGAGGAAACGTTACAGAGCGCTGTGGTGTCTTATGAGAAAACGGGAGCACGAAAATAGGCATTCATTACGATTGTTATTTCGGTAGCAAAGAGATTCCATCCGTAAAAATTAGTCTTCTGCATAATAGAAACTGCAAAAACCAGCCGGCGAAAGCGTTCTTGTGTTTGTTCCATAATAGATTCTGTTAAGTTTGGTCAGATTGTTGGCCAAAGTGCTAGAGAGAAAAAAATATGCTAATATAATATACCATGCACTGTTATTGCTACACTATATTTCCTAGTGTCTACCTATGAGCAACAAAAATGAAGAACGAAAAAATAATAATTCACATACATGTAAAAATTAAACAAAAAAAAGGAATCCTGTAGAAATTTCATAGTCACAAATTTCCAAATCCCGCTCGGTTCGTTGCTCCTTACTACAAAAAGCCTTTATCGAGGAAACTCTTCTTGGTTTTCGCCGGCTTTTTCAGAATCGTGCTGGCCGGAGCATTTCCTCCCGGACTCCCTCCCGAACTGGCAGTGTCACTGGCCGCCGCCTGCATCAGCGCATCCTGCAGAATCGGATACAGTTGTGGGTAGGCGTCACCGAACTGTTTCTTCTGCAGTTCATAATCCGTTTTGTCCTGCTCCAAACGCTTCCGCTGCGCATCGACATCGCGTTCCCAGTTCTGGAATTTTTTCTCCAAGTCCTTCTCCGAATCGGCAAGCTTCAGTTCCTTCTCCTTCACTTTCTGATCAAAGATCGCCTGCATATCGCTCTTCATTTTCATAATCTTGGCATCGTTCTCCTTCTGCTCCAGTTCGAGCTGCGTCAGTGGACTGCGATGAGAACCTTTTCCGATGGAACTGCGCAGAGGTGTCGACATACCCCCATCCACCGATGTTCCTCGACTGGGCCCCAGGACACTGTCACCATTCGACGAATTCGCGCGGTTAAAGTATTCACACCGATAGTTCTCGTAATGGACATCATTCGTCACGTCCATCAGATCGCTTAAGTAAATTCGTAGCAACAGTTTTCGCAAGAGTGTGAAATCACTGTGCTCTGGATTGTCGATCTCCACGGTGCCCCACGGATATTTCCGACCACGCACCTTACGTCCATCTTTTGTGTCCACATAGGTGTTACTACCAATGACGGCGAAGGGCAACATCGAGCGAAAATTCTCTTTTTTCCCGTTCAGTTTCCCATCGTCCTCGTCATCGCCTTCCCCATCACTGTTTTCCGGAAAATCGTACAGTTTGATGTCGTGCTCTTTTAATTCACGTCGGATTTTCTCTTTGAACTCTTTCCGCTCGTCCACAGTTAACGTGTCAGCACGACCGATGACGGGAATGACATTGACTTTTGTCCCCAATGCTTTCATGGCCAGAATATCCAGCGGACGCATTCCGTGGCCGTTCGGTGCGATGAAATACAGACAACAATGCACTCGATCATCCAGATGTTCGTCCAGATTGCGTTTAACTGACATTTCCCGCTCCAGATACTCGTGATAGCGACGGTCAATGTATGACACAACCGAATCCCATGCGTTAGTGTTATCCACAAAATGGCCAAATCCCGGCACATCCACGATGGTCAAACGAACTTTAACGCCCTTTTCCACTAACGACACTCTAGTCTTTTCCACCTGGATCGTTTTTCCAATACGGTATGAGATTCCTAGAATACGTAAATCGATTAAAAAATTGTTTATCTAATGATAATCAATTCTACAGCTTCACTACTTTCTAGAAAGAGCACCACTGTAACGAAGTAATCGGGATGTGAGATGAAGTTTTAAGGGAATATATACCGTTCCCAATTTTTCTTTAATGTCACAAATACCCAACGAAGTTCCCAATATAGCAAACAGGACGGTTTATTGAACCCATTTTCCATTAATTGCACTCGTACCTATTTTTGCATAAGTGTAGTGTTATGATAGCGTCAAGAGGCTCTTATGAATTTCCTTTTTCCATTGACGTTTCAACGCGTTAACACTTAAGCATGCCCCGAACAATACAAAAGAAAAGCGCTTCCGCGAGAATGCGACTGTTTTTACAAAATAGTCAAATGACTATAAGAGATAACGGTTCGTCTGCCGTTGTTGGTTACTCATACATCACGGCAAATGGTTTCGAGAACACGAACTATTCGTGTTTCAAATTACGAGTTAAATAAAATTCCGTCGAGCACTTGGGCCCAGCACCTAATAATAATCGGTATTTATCAAATGTGTTTTTAAACATCTTTCACACATAACACAACGGCCTCATAATGCACACAGCAGGACAGACAAATATCTAACGATAGAGTAATGTCCGAGGCGTTTGTCATGTGGTACCCCACAGACATCAATAGAAAATTAATTCGGATCACGATTGGAGTATCGATTATCTAGGTTTGCAAAGAGATGCCAAATTGACCACATCGTGATGGCTGCGAGGGAAAAGCAGCACGCCTTGTATCAATAAGTGCTGATGCATATGCGCGAGTACTTAAAAGGCCTTGGCCGCACTTTGTAGTAAACCAACGCCAAATCTAAACATTTCCGAATATGCTGCCCACATCGGAATTACAAAATTGCGGGTTAGATATACGAGTATATAGCCAATCAATAATTTCTACTTTGATCTAACTCCCTATTAGCGTAATCACAGAGTAGCTCATTCGATCGATTTCAACTTCGACGGATATCTTCCCACTCCAAATAATTATTTTCCATTATTTAAAAATACTAAGTCATTTGCGACAGAACTTCTTCATAATTATTCCGTTAAACTCTCCCGGATTTAGGTACAGTAGACTCTGTTTTTAGGATTTGTTCTTGAATTTTATCGCGCTGCAAAAACCGCTGAATACGAGTAAATGTCGGCATACATCTCACACAATTTCATTCTTTCAGAAAATCGCACCAAAATTAGCAAATTAAACAACTTGCAGCTCAACTACGATTGCGAAGTTTGCGCTGACAGCAGATTCAGATTTTTTATCAACAATAGTCCATAAAATCGATACTCCATCCAGGCACAACGCAGTTGTTGACCTAATTTCTGATCAACACAGTAGCAAAACATCTGTGACTACACGGATCACATTACGGTAGCATGAGACCAGAAAGGCAAGCTTCTTCTTGTTAGGCCAACTCGTGAGAGTCGGTTTAACTACGATGTTCAACATTTTATTAACTAAAAAAAACGAATGTTTCTCGTGAGTCGACAATAAACAAGCAAGTCAACTTATCCGCTATCGCATAAACGCTTTGTTTTACATCTCCGTGAGAAAGTTTACATAATGTGCAACTACTCGTAGATGCAAACAGTTAACGTGCTGACTAGGAAGTATCTTTCCTGAGCCACTTGAGTGCATTTTACCTAAATTCGTGTTAACTCGTTCAACCGAATCCGGCTGTCAGCAATCACGCACGAATGCCATAAATCCTCTGCTAATAAAAATGCTTTATGTATGCAGTTTATAGTTAATCCTTGGTGCTAAAAACAGATGTTTTCGCGCCTAGACATTCCTCCAGCGCTACAATGGCATTCCTTAAAATAACATGCACATGTAATATTCATATCGAAAGCGCCTGGTCGGCTCATTTAGCTCACAAAGCTGCAAGTCTGCAACGAAAGTTTTTTCGACATTTCGTCAATTACTGTTCATAGTTAATATTTTTCAATACACACTTTGTTAACGCTGTCCGTGCACGCGCTATAAAAGGGTCTTCAAACTAACTCTGCTTGCTGCAATTAACCTACAACAAAAATTTGAAAATTATAAATACAGCTAACAATCGCAAACAAAATCTCGAAAGCAATTTTACGCAGAAGTAAAAAATTTTAAAACACTGCGGTATCATTAATTTGAGAGCGAAAAACATTAAAAACGAAGACATGGAAAATACTTCAGAATTAAGCCTGCCTAATGCATTTTCACTAATGCGAATTTGTATCACCTAAACGGCAGAAATGACCTAATATTTTTCAGCAGATACTCGTAACAACATCATTTGTAGCTTAACCCACTTTAGAAATTAACAAGCCGCAGCTCATCTTCGCCACACCATAACTCACCCGGAGATTCTTTGCCATCGTAGATGTCAGCGGAGAAGAGCGAATTGATGAATGTCGACTTGCCCGTGCCAGTTTCTCCCACGACAATAACGTTGAGCGCAAATCCCTTGCGCACACTCCGACGGCTGACTTGATTGGGCAGATCAGCGTAGCCGTTATACTTCCCCGGGACCGCTGACAATCCGGGATGCGCGACGACCACAGGATGCAAACTGCTGCTGGCACTACTATGACTGCTGCTGCTGCTGGCCACACTGGCGGGCAGACTAACGGGCGCTACCATCGTGGAATGGACAATTGTCGAGTACTGGCTGGGACTGCTGACAGGTGCCGGGGATCCCGCGTGACTGAAACTACGAAAGTTAACAAACGGTGCGGATGGGGATGAACTGTTGGATGAGCTAAGTGAGGAGCCATTTAGTGAGGATGGTGTCTGGTATGTCCTGCTACGGTAACTAGGCACATTAGGAACAGGCATTGTGATATCAAGGGCTCTCAATAAGAATAGGATATATTGTTGATCGGATCAATAATGTATCGCATATGGAGCAGGTAAGTATCGAAAAAGCAGTGCAGGCTGGTTACAACGTTCTACACATCGTTCTCGCTCCGCACAGCCGAGATAAGATCAAGAACTTCAGAAAATCTCAGTAATCGAAAGATGGGTAAGGTAAGCAGTGGCAGACTCTGCCTCAAGGCATTTATTGTTCTCGTAGTACAAACTATAAAGATGCTGACAACTGAAACAAATGGAAACTACAACCGCCGACGATCGGCATAGATTTTCAAACGAAACCCCTGTGCCGCAACGGTGATACTCGTAGAATGGCAAAACAAATCACGCCATATCTTTGACAGTGCGTGGTAAGCGAGTAAAACGTCCTACGGAGTCAACGGCTAGTCGCTAGCGGCTCATGGTCCGCTTTTCCTGATCCTATGTCACTATGTGCAACACTCTGCATGACTCATTTTAACCAATGAAGTCAGGCAGAGTCAAAATGATTCACCTTTCTGTGATTTCTGATCCACCGACCACAATTCCGTTTTAATTTAATTTCCTTCCTTCTTGCGCATAATGAATATTTAACAACGCAGGTGCGAATAAATTTAAAAAAAATTTATTAGTCGAAACTCGAAAGCAATTAGAAGTGGAACTCAAAAATTTTAAGGCTAAGCAACGAATCTACTAAGCGGTTTTAAAGTCTTCAAACCGGTCAATGCGCCCAGTTAACTGACACAAAGCTGCCGACCCATACCGACCGCGTAGCGCGGGCTGCCAGTGCCTGGCCACTGGTCATCATCAACACGCAATCGCAGGCCTCACGGCACGGCTTTATTCCCGGTAAACTTTAATCGAAAATTGGTATTTACAAGTAAGAATCGTTATAAACGTTATAAATTTTAAATCAAAATTCTCGGATATTTTAGATTGTGCTGGACAGTATATGGTGCTGCACAGATATTTCGATCTCCATCAACGTGGGTTCTCTCATTTATAATGAATGGAAATTCGTCGTCACTTAGGTGACTACAATTGCATTCCTTTGCATTGCAAATTACGGAAGTAAAAATTTTCTAACAGTTCAATCTCCAACATGTACAGCATCACGGATATAGTCGTTTATTTTCAAATGGTGTACAACAAAAGATTGAAAAAACTAAATTCAGAAGTGAGTACCAAGAAAAACATTTATAAAAACAATGACCATACCGAATTGGGGCCACCGTGGTCATCTAATCCAACATAAAAATATATATCTCAGGAAAAGGACAGATACCAAAAACCGAGATAATACCGGATATCGACACAAAAACAATGAAAAACCGACGTTCTTCATATAAACGCCAACAGCAGAGATCACGAAACTTTATGCACGTTCACGTTTAGATTGCTGCTATTTTCACCCGGCGAATCGGTAAACAGTAATCTAGGCAAAATACCCATCGACATCAGCTCCTGGAACAATAGTTTACATGCGTAAGGAAGCGTCACTTGAAATATCTAAAATAAACAACTGTGTTCAGCAAATATTTTCTCACGCACAACAGTTAGCGGACTGTTAAATTGGCCATACCGTTGTTTCACGCACGCATTTGCTGCAATGGAAATGTTGCGTGTGAAGTTTGGCAATGGCCATAAAACCACACTGGCTGCAAATGTGCACCCGATACGCGTCCGATACTTCAAATAACCGTTCCCGTAAATTTAATGCCGCTCCATGGCTTATCAAACAGTCCCTCTCCATTTCTCCTATACGTAAACCTCCACCCCTAAAATTAAAAAAAATAATTACGCGGCGATCAGATTTTTATGGATGTTTCTGGATGACGAGGGTTCACTACCATTTCCGATTCGCACTTATGTATTAATGGTTAAGTGCTGAACGGGCGAACTTGCAGCCGTTTTCCCGCTAAAACAGATGTACCGAAATCTAAACACATTTCTCTTTTATGTGTTAAATAAGATATTTCCCGTAACACTGTGTACAGAAAAGATTGTTTGAAAGAAATTTAGCGTAATTAGGGAATCAAATGTAAAGAAACAGTCTGCGGTAAAAAAATCAGTCACGGAATTTCTGCGGACCTTGCACGTCCTTCGTGCGGTTGACGGGTCAGCAGAACCATCGATCCCCTGGCTCTCGAAAACATCTTGTCTTCCACCAGGTGTTTCAGCCGGATGTAATATGTGCAGCCAATAAACACAGGAGAATTTAACTTGGCTCCCGTAAAACCGTTGAAAAGGACTTCGTTCCCATGTGGGTGGTACTTGTGAGCCTTTAGGTCTGCGATGCATGCCCGCATGGTTTCCACTTTGGTGAAGGGCGTGGCATCTCCGAAAGGTAGCCCCAACGCGCACGCCGCCTACGAACCATCTTTTACATTTTTTATTTGGCAAAATGTTACCGCTTTTCTACCGCACCTTTCCAAAGACAGTTTCCATTAAGTGACCAATGGTCATTCGCGAAGGTATGGCATGAGGATTCACTATGATATCCGGAACTATGCCCTGCGTAGTAAAGGGCAAATCCTACCGTCCCCAAACAAAACATTAATAACATCAAGCTGTGAAAAAGACAATTAATGGATATTTTAATCATCTGCTCTGATAGCTCACCTCCACTGGGTAACAAAATCCAACAGTGCCCTTTTGTCCATGACGGCTGGTGAATTTATCACCCATCACCGGTGTACGCACAGATCGTATGCGTACTTTACAAAACGGCCGTCCTTCATCGTTTGTACTTCGGAAAGCTGCATCCACAATTCCCGTTTCATGAGTACGAATAAAGATGCTGGCGTCCTTCTGTACAATTCCGGTTTCGTCTTTTGCTACCTACACATGTCGAATTTTGATCAGACGACAGACTAGTGCTACGGTCAACGGTCAACCAGAAAACGAAAATATATATCAAGTATTCTACTATTTAATAATTATTATACGATTTTTTAAGAAAACGTTTGCCCCAAAAATACATCCAGGAAAGTCAGCATAAGTCTACGGTCTACGTACGTCTCCGGTATTTCGCATTTCGATGACCTTTCCAATAATGCAGTCCGTTCCAGACACTCTCGTTCCCGGTCGGATTATGCCATCACGGTCCAGTTTGCTGTACATTGCATCCCGCATACCTTCGCACTGAGTGGGCGGAACCTGAATGTACTCTGCATGTTTACCGGTGATTTTCTTTTCCTCAGTGGCTTCGTATGTCCGATAAAATGTGTGCCGAAAAAGGCCTCTTTGCAAGGATGCCGTATTCAAGATAACCGAATCCTCTTGATTGTAGCCGGTGTACGATGCAATGGCCACGATGCAGTTCGCCCCGGCTGGCAGCTTGTCGTTTTTCAGAATCAGCCGTTCGGACTTCGTGCTGACGATAGGCTTCTGAGGATAATACATAACATGGCAATCATTGTCGTAACGGCTGGCATAATTGGTCGCGTAGATACCCAAGGCTTGCTTGGCCATGCCGGCTTGATAGGTGTTCCGTGGAGACTGGTTGTGCTCCGGAAATGGTATGGTCGACGCACACACCCCCAAAATCATCGAAGGATGGATCTCGCAGTGCGTGCAATTTCGCGACGCGAAATTCAAATCACTAGGATACATCGCGCAGAGAATCGTTTCCTCTTCGCTGACATCGATGTATTCTATGGCACCGGCTCGAACAAAATGCTCAAACCTAAAACAGCAGATGCTAATATGGAGTAAAAATTCACTGTTTTATGCACTCTACTCTATGTTTTGGGTTTTTACTTGGGTCCCTGCTGGCTTGCAACCGATTACACTGTCCATTAAAACTGATTTGCAAGCAAGTTAATATTTAAGGAAATCATTTAGCAAACAAAAGAAAGCTCACTGGAGTATCCCAGTGTAAACGCAGTGTAAACGTCAGCATTGGAAAACGTACTTGCAACGCGGCTCTTCCTTTTGTCGCAGTTTAATGATATCAGCAGCTGTTATAGCCAAGATACGCTTTGTGCTGCCGGATTTTACGACGAGGAAGGGCCTATAAACCCTGCCAGGTTCCGTATGAATGTAAATATTTCGCGCAGATATATCCCACGTGATGGACACCTAAACAGAAGCGAACAACTCAAGCTACAAAAAAACGTAGTCAAAGTGTGGTGCAGAATACTATCGCAACAGCCACTTAATTTAATTTAATGTGCTACGCTTAAGATGCAGAAATACTGCAAAAGGCGTACGTAACTGCACAAGAAAAAGAAACTAGAATTATCCCTCAAATCCAATGGAAATTAACTGAAAAGAAGGAACATGCCAAAAATATATTACAGTACTATATGTATTACTTTACAAGGTGTTATTTTATTTGCTTATCATATTACGAAGGCGGTTCACGAAATAGTCAGAAAACAATGCTACTATATTCGCAAAGATAATAGCAGAACTATGCAGTACATGCAAAATTACAAAAACATCTTGAGCTATTGCTTATCTCACAAATACTGAAATTAAACTCACGCATGCTCTCAAGTAATTTTTAGAAGAGACTGTACTCATTTCAGAAGACTTCTGCAGAAATTTTGAAAAATCCAGTTTATCGGCCCCCAGCTGCCCAAGCACTTAAGCCTCGAAAGGCCGCCAAAACTATGCATAGCATACCTAATTATCGGCATACGCACCTCGAAAGAAATGTCATTTTTTTGCCTTGCTATTCGCATCAGCTGTACAACTTCCTCCGGATCCTCATGGAAACCAAAGAAATCTCCGTTCACAAAAATACGCGCACCGCTGTATAAAAAATCACTAACTTAAGCTTGCGATAATTAACAGTAACATTCATTCTGCCCCAGCGCAACCCTACCATTTCCGGTGAGCCGATTCATCTGGGTACAATATACTAGCTGCCGTAGCCGGATCAATCTCTAACAACGGTACCACTTTACAGGCTTCCAGAACGTCGCGCACAACCACAACATCCGATCCGACACTCACACATGCCATGAGGCTCAAATTCTTGATCAATCCCACCAGCTGACCTTCCGGTGTCTCGGAGGGACAGACAATGCCCCACTGTGTATTGTGCAGCTGCCGGGGCCGCGCCATCTTGGACGCTGTGGGAAACGGTGTTCGAATTCTCCTCAAATGGGACAGAGTAGCACAGTACGACAGCCGATTGAGCACTTGGCTGACGCCAACCCGATTCGTCTGGAAACGTCGGGCTTCCCCCCAGTTGCCGGTGGCCAGGGCGTAGCGCATACCATCCGTGATGATCCGGCTCTTCAGGGCTAATGCGACATTCAGGCCAGTTTTAATATTAGGCTTTCTCTGCAACTCTTTCTCAAGCGTCAGCGTCATTTCCTTCCGCAGTTTTTGAAACTGCTGACGAAAGAGGGTGGCAAATAGCGGACCGACGAGGTCTAGGCGCTTGTTCGCATAATGGTCCCGGTCGACACAATCACACCGTCCCATGGCCGTACGGATCAGCCGGTCGACCATGTAGCCCAAGAAGAACGCTTTCCGTCGTGAAAAATCGGCATGTGTGCCAACGTGTGGTAAAACATTCTTCTCGAGTATGTCCTTGGCGAATCTAATCCTTTCTGACCTAACGACGGCTGGCTTTGCGCTCCGATTTCCAATGAAATTCAAAGCGTGTTCTTGCGTCTGAATGGCTTGAGCATACATCAGCGACGGCTTCAGCCATTCGTGAATTTCGTTATCCTCCTGGTTCAGGGAGATTAGCTGCACAATTTCTTGATCGGTTTCGAAACCCAGAGCTCGAAACAGGATCATAATAGGAATTTCCTGCTTGACAAAGGGTATGATGGCCACAATCGGATATCCCACTGACAGCACAGTTATGGAATTACACTGCAACAATAAATACAATCAAGTACGTACCTACTACAGTTACTAAACCACAGCTGTAGTAAGCTAAACGGACTGCAACACTAGCGTGCACATAACGCTAGAGCGCATACCGGCACATGTACAATACAGTGTACACGATAAGAGCAAACGAAATAATCGGTGCCGTACCAGAGCAACGCGTTTGTAAAAAGCTCTTTTACTACGAGTAAGTTGTTTATCGCTAATGTACAAATATCTATATACTTCTATGCATTGGTAATACAAAGACAATTCAATTCACCTGCAGCGGCTTCGAAAGCATGTTAACCCACAACGGACTTGCTGTCTTGTTCCCGGTTTCCGGAACGGATCGGATTTCAGCTTTGTACTGATACTTCGAATTCGTTACGCGAGTGATGTTTAAATGGTTTTCAGCCATACGCTCTTGGGCAATCACTGCCTACGAACAAAAAATTAAGCACAGTAAAACAACTGTCTTCCCATGTATTCATAAACGTCCGACCGGTTTGACCTAACTTTTAACGAATATTTTCTACCTTTTCGGATCCATCGATAATGAAATATCCTCCGGGATCGTGGACGCATTCACCCATCGCGCTAATCACAACCGGGTCACTTTGACCATGCATTTGACAGTAGTCAGACCGCACCATGATGGGCAACCGTCCCATGTAAACCTGCTTAATAATGTCCGATTCATCCGCACGTTCATGCCGCTGTATTGTCTCTTTGATATCCACCCACAAGTTACAATCATATGTGAGATCTCGAAGTCTGACTTCCAGAGGATGCAGCACCGAAACCCCAGAATCGCTCGTTCGGCCTTCACGAAACGGGGAAGAGATGCCAACCCCTTCGAAGGTGTACCGATAACATATCTATCAGCAGAACAACACCGTATGCAAATGAACAGTTCAGCTAATCAATAACTTTTTAAACCATTTTTTGCTGATATTATCATCGAACCTGCAGAAATGATGCTTAAAATTATTTGTACTCGTACATCTCGAATCGTCGGTATTTTCAACACTTACCGGGTCTCCGGGCTCCGGTTCTTTCAACCCAAAACTTTCATCGTTTTTTCTTATAACAATCGGTAATGAACTGGTGACAATTTCTGGAAGATCCGTGGAAACGAATTTATTGAACGAATCCAACTGCTGCTGGACCAGGCCTTTGTCGTCAAAAAACGACTGGATAATCAACCAGGCAGCCTCTTCCCAACCGGCACTGCCGAGTGCAGCGTACACATCCTCGTCGATATAATCGGAAAGGCCTGCTTTGGGGATCCCTTCTCGAGTAGTTTCATCGTTTTCTGTCGAAGCATGAACACAAAATAAAATACCACATACTGAGGAAAGAAGTAATGATCAAAGTTTTTAGAAGAAAGATCCTCCTGCATGTATGCGGAAGAGAATTCCGTCAAATGAAAATGCGGCTTACTGAATGGTTTTCATTCATTTTTTTTAGCTAAAGCCGAAAGCGCTGGATGATACTTGAAAAAATGCGACGATAATTTTGTGGCACTGGTACTTTTGACCGAAAACAGTTTAACTTGCCACTACCGATGCAGCATAAATCAGTATCCATGTGAATAAAAATAAAATAAACGTTTCAACTAGAATAAGAATAATCATTTTTCCAGTACGAGTACTTTTTATCTTTACGAGTATTTTCGTTGCGCCCATACGAGAGTGCAAAACAAAAGATAGCACCGCTTTACCGCTCGAACAAAGTTCCAAAGCTGCACGCCGCTATGCCCCTAACTTATAAGGGAACTTTGTCATTTGAGTTTTTACGAAAACGCCTCCATGAACGACTACACTATTTTAACAAACACTTCACCTCTTTCGTAGAAAGAACTATGGTCATGGGCGATGAATTTGGCCAAATCATCCGACACGGAGCCCAGCGCTAATTTCTCGTGGTCCTCATCACAGCAATCATCCCTCCACGATGGACTTGGGGGCGCTGCAAAAAAAGGAAAATATTAAAAGAGAGTATAATCTTCATTGCAAATCATCTATGTGCAAGTGTAAACACATAACATACGCGTCACGTAGAGGGGAGGAATATTCTCATCTCCAAAAACGGTCTTATCACTGTCGCCATTTATTAACGACTCCAGCACAGGAACCACTGCATCAGGCTTGGGCGATGGGGATTCGGATAAAACGATGACAGAAGAATCATCAGAATCCGATAAACAAATAACTTCCGATTCGGAAAACGATTGTTTTTTCATTTGAAAGGCTGGAGAACATCATCGAAAGGAAATCATCACTGAGAGCAGTCACAATCTGAACGCTCGACGTCCAATATGAGACATCTCCAAGGCACAGGCTGACTAGCGGGCACACAGATTGACAAACAGTCAGCAATCTCGATTTCGGAGATGTGTCCTCCGGTAGAAATCTGGAAATTTGACAACTGCAGTATCACAATTAACTCTAAAATCAACAGAAATGTTTGAGGATCAAACCAAAAATCCGATGATCTGTCGCCAACAGTAACTTCTGACCGTGCACCGTACGTAAAGAGCTTGTCCGGAAGACACACACCGTTTGGCCATTTATTTGCCGCCACAGCTGTAGCTGCTGTTGTCCTTAGGTGGCGTAGTGAGCGTAACCTCCAGAAAAGCGCACTGACAAAGTGGAATAACAATAATATCGTTTAAATTTCAAAACGTTGACAAACCCATTATTGGGTTAAGCAGTGATGATACCTATTCATAGTAGAATATTTTAATAATATCTATAGATCATAGTGAGTTTTGGATTATAAAAGACAGTGGACGTGTAGGTTGTGGACCTGTGGTCACCGCGGTCCATGGGCAATTGAGTTGGACAACCACAAGGCAGCGCCATGGGCACGTTACGCCTCTAACTGCAGGAAGCGGTATTCATTTGCGGCATTCATTCTCGACATTCTGGAAAGAAAATACTGTAAAACCAAACGGTCCGACAAGATCGGAAGTTTCATTGGAGCGAAGGAAAGTTTGCGAATAAATCATAATACTTTTTTTACTTTGAACATTATTGTGATTTGGTTTGGTATCTGGATTTGGACAGTTTTGTTTAAAAGCTTGCGGAGAAAAAATGGGTGAGACCTCTGTGGCACCGTTGTCAGTGGGTCTTTACGTTGAGGGTTTTCGACCGCTGAACAGACTTTCATCTCTGTGGAGTAGTGCAGCAAAAATTGGATGCGACTTTATCAGTGTGGATGTTTTTGCATGGGCAGCGCCAGTTGAAGAGCACATGAAAAGCCTGAAGCTTTCAAATTTCATATCAGACTCAGTTCTTCCGTTGGAAACGCTGTGCAATTCGGTGGTTCTTCGTGTTTTAATCCCCGACGCTCATTATGACATGCATACGAAGTACCTAAGCGATGATCTCCTTCGTTTACGGACAGATCGAGTGACGGTACAGTACTAAATTTTTCAAAATATATATGTTTTTAGGTTTCGGTTATTTCTAAGCTAAGCTGCTAATATCTTACCGTTCGATAGTTTCTGCTTGTTTTGCTTCGTGTTTATTGTTTTGCCAGTATTTACCAAATAGTTGTAGACATTAAAAGTTAAAATGATTAAAATAATAAAATTTTAAATCGGATTCGCGCTGAATGTTGGTGGTTTTCTTTTTATTTTTCAGCATTAATTTGAGCAAATGGCAAACCAATTGGATTTTGAGTGCGACATGTTTGCAGAGTCTCGGGGATGCTCTGACGGGCCAGGTTGAGCACTGCAAACTATTTTGTCTCAGCCAAACGCGCCCAGCTGTGATGCTCCCGTATGCGCCGTCGGAGTACATTTTTCGGTATGCGGAGAAGATCGTATCCTTTGTACCTAATCATCCGGATTCTGGACATGAAATCATAACTCTTGGAAGTCACAGCAGTGAAGAGGTATTGAATGCCATAATTCTGTCTTGTTTGTAGAAAAAAATGTTTATTCATTTTAAAACTGTCCCTGTTGCTGTTCGTTGTGATTTGTGGTGTTTGCTGTTTGGCGAGTGAGGTTTTTAATGCAGTTATTTTAGTTCTGGATCCACATGCCTTTAACTGGCGTTGGTGTTGGGGAAGACAGAAATTTCGAGCAAGCATTTGAATGGTAATTAATAAGAGTTTTGTGCTTTTTTACAAAAGATGATCGTTCATGATAGGCGCGTCCGCCATATATCCTGTCATTTTGTAATTTTGCAGGTGGAACTCTTTAAAAGCTTCCGTCAATTCCAGCAGCACTGTGGGATTGTGTTTGGAAATTCCGGAAGATTTACCAGCGGAGGCGCACGTGCTTGAGAGGTGGCTTGTGGAGCCAGTCCGATGTTTAATTATTCCTCTTCACATTTTCTGCACAGATTCAAATGGGCTTCCCGTATTGTCTGATGCTCATACTGAAGTCATTAGACGGTTTCTACGGCTGTATAAAATGACGATTCTGCTGCGAGGTGGTGGATTAATTGAAAATGAGCAAATGCCGGATATCACTTCATACAAAGCACATTTAATTAGTATTTACGAAAAAGGTGTAGCACAGTACGGCATACCCATTCAGCCGTCCATTTTCCCTCCCCTGGATACGGTCAGTGTCAACCTTCAGAACGAATCCTACTCAGCTTTTGAAGTGGATCACCGGAAGTATTCGGATTACGAGAATGCCGTTCGGCAGTTTATCCGGTATCGTCAATCGGCGGAGGATGTTCCGGAAGTGTTTGTTGCGGCTGTTGTCGGCTGCGGACGGGGTCCTCTGGTTACTGCTGTACTTAATGCCGCCCGAGACTGTTATGCTAAAGTGCGCGTATATGCACTAGAGAAGAATCCCATCGCGATTGCGGCGTTAAAGGAAAATGTGACTAGCATCTGGCAGGGATTGGACGTGAACATTGTTATGACGGACATGCGAGAATGGGAAGCTCCGGAATCTTGTGACATGCTTCTCAGTGAAATGTTGGGTTCCTTTGGCGATAACGAACTGTGCCCAGAGATGCTGCGAGGCGCAGAAAGGTTCCTGAAGGCGGATGGTGTCTGTATTCCAGCGTCTTATACGTCATATCTGGCTCCAGTCAGTATACCAAGAATTTATGAATACCTTTCTGATGAAGATGAGGATGAGACGGAAGGTGTGCGCCAGACAGTTTATGGTTACACGGTAGATTCTTCGCGCTTGTTGTCCGATGCTGAACGTGTTTTCGATTTTCATCACCCGTCAGCGCTTCCAGGTTGGTATGGGTGCAATATATGGTAGATTACTGCTTTTCAATGCAGGCGCATTTCATCCAAGTTCCTTGCTGTACTAAATTTGCAGCATGAAATGTTATTTGTTACATGTTTCTTTTTACTTAAGATTTACTCGCTATTTGATTCAGGGTTTTAACATATATTTTTTTAGATGGGGAATCATTTTTTCGATCGGTGGAGTTGAAATTCGAAGTTCATAATCCTGGAATGCTCCACGGATTCAGTGGATTTTTTGAAGCGGTTCTGTATGGAAACATTGAACACAGTTTAGTGCCGGCTCGGAAGACTCCTGGTTTGCTTTCGTGGCAGGATATCTTCTTCCCACTCAAGCGACCCGTTTATGTTAAGAAAGGGCACTGTATCATTCTCCAGTTCTATCGATGTCGAAATGACTATTTTGTTTGGTATGAATGGGCAATGATGAAACCAGTTGTGAGCGATCGCCACAATATCGACGGAGAATTCTTTCGCATGAGCCTGCAGACCAACACGTCATAATGCCACTTTTGGATTAAATTCGTTTTGACTGCGTTTCCTCCTACTTACCTGTGATAATGTTTGTATGGCAGTACGTATATTTATCAGTATTTGATGAGACACGTTGGATAGTTCAGTGAGATGTTATGTGATAAACATTGTTCTGCATTTTCTAAATTACCATGGTTCCAGGTTATCTTAAGTTTGTCTTACCGGTTTTTTTGGATGGATCTTTGTACAGGCAGTTCAACTTCCCGGCACATTTCGCTAAGTTTTCTGTAACCGACTTGTGAGAAGTCTGCACTTCTTTATACTTGATTCCCATGTGACAGGTTAATAAATCCGGTTTACTACCGTATAGTGTTAAAAACGATTGTATCTCAAAACGATTGTTGTACCGCTTTGCAGCATTTCTGATGTCCCAAGTAGCACAATCCTAGTTCTTCTGAGGTTACCGTCATAAACTGCTGGCCGACGGTATACGCAGGCAACTGAGGCAAGTCGCTGTTTGCTACGCAAAATGTTTACGCGCACTTGTGCAAACAGTAATTTTTACTTACAAATTATTGCAATCAGCACTCCGTTTGACGAAAATGGTTACGATATGCAAATGCTGTATCTGTAGTTAAATATTCCTAGCGAATAGTGCGCATGTTACACGTAGTAACGAACCTGCAGTGAAAGGTTTGCCGGGTAGTGGACCAGATCACGAAATGAGCACGTGGAGCATACTGTATCTGTCTGGGATCGGTTTATTCTGGTGACCGTGAATAACGACACAATATCATACGTTGTCCGTATTCCGTCATGTGCACGGCGTGTGTCTGCCAGTCTACTTCGTTTGATGCCCTCGGAAGCAAGTCGAAAGAGACATTTGACAACGTTTTACCTTTACAACTTAACACGAACGCAGATCGTTTCAGTAAAATTATAAACCTGAATAACAAACCTGCGCGTACAAGATTTACCAAATTTTCTTTTATAAATCAGCGGCTTTGCGAGTGTAAGTAAGCTGCATGCAGCGTTTGCAGACAAGACTTCCGGTAGAAGTACTTACTACTTACTCGTACTGATGCTGTTCAAATGAATTCGCTTTTGATCCTTCCGACCCGCCATATCACAACTTGCGCACGTGGAAAACGCATGACTCACGCACCATATTGCACGACAAATCATCACACCATTCATAGGGCATCTGCAGTACGTACCTTAAACCTGCAGTGCAGAGTTGTTTTGTTCCGTCTACGAGTTTAATGCGATCGCATTTTTCAGAAACGTTTCCATTCGACATTGGAACTCTTCCATGCGTTCAAAATTTTTCAGATCTGCGTTCTTGATTGAAGCGTGTTTTACAGTTCTTAGATAAGAATGGCGTCCGAAACGTATATGCGCGTGCTGGCTCGTTTCGTAGTGACCGGGAATGTTGGGAAAGTGTGGGAAAAGCTGACGGAAATCGAAGAACTAAACGAAACCAAGCAAATCCCGTGGCCGGAGCTCATTAATCAGCCATCGAAGGAATCTCTAGCAGTCATCGCTAGCCGCTATGGACAGGTGGGAATTTTGAAAATGCTCCAGATGAAAGGCGCTCCGTCGCTGTATTACGAAATCGGGAATCTGGATGGCAAGCGACCGTTGCATGAGGCTGTGGAAAATGGACAGAGCGAGTGTGTGGAATTCCTGGTTGAAACTATCGGAGTTTGCGTGAACTCACTGAAGAGAGCTGACTGGTAAGCGTGTTCGATGAGTAAATGACCATACCCATAAAATGCAAGAAATCAAAAAGTCGAGTTGTCGGTGGTGCCCTTGCTACCTTGCATTTGCCCGCTTGATGGGAAATAGTACTTGATCGTTGTTTCTTATGTTTATGTATAGATAAGAGTGGGGTGTTGACTGGTAAAATTACCCTTTTGACTGCCAATATTGCGATGTGATGTTTTCTGAACATTAGAGTTTTCATTTTCTCGAGCTAATCAGAGAACTTCATGCGCACAGCCGGTAGATAAAACCTGCGGCATAACTTGGCCTTTTGGAGTTTCTTTTCATTTCTACTCGTAAGGAAGCAGCAAATGACATTATGCAAAACTGCAGATGCAGGTCTAAATAACTCGAAAACGTTATGTTTAGAATTACAGAGTAATCGTGGTGGTACATGAATATTCGCCGAAGTGCCGTGCTACATTCACCACATGTACGGCGCTAGCAATGTTTGTGTTTCCATTTATTGCGGTATTTCCCGGGAGTGTTGCGTAATAGCTGGATGGATTGCGTTTATGCCGCACTCGTGTATTATACACTGTAATGTCTGTCAGCTGATTTGCCGAAGCGCGATAATAATTTGCGCATCAATATATTCTAGCTACGAATACTACTCGGCTGTGTTGCTAACAGTATCTGCATGTTTGTTTTATCCAGGACACCGCTCATGCTGGCGTGTTCGAAAGCCAATCCAGATTTGGTGCGCTATCTGATCCACCACGATGCGGATGTGAATTTCCGCAATAAAGATGGTTGGAACGCATTCCACTTGGCGTGCAGGTACAAGTTTTTTTTCTTGTCTTTTATGCCATCTCATCATGTGAAGCACGCTATATTGCCTTGCAGAGAAGGCAACTTGGAGATCGTGAAAATGTTGTATAAGGCCGGAAATGACTCGTCCCTTATCGTCAGCAACAATGGCCGAAGTCCGTTGCATACTGCCGGTAAGGCCTTAAAATGAATTAATTTATGGTCATGGTAATCTTTAGAATGGTCTTTACCTTGTGATTGTAATTATGTATTTATCTCATGATCTCCAGTTGTATTTTGTTTGCAACTTTTTCTGCCAGTGACTGGCCATTTATGCATATCATCCTGCATTAGGAAATGAGGTTGAGTTTTGCGTGTTGTGCGCGTGCACATTCTTCGTTAATAGTGATCGACGACGAGGTTGAACCTTCAATAGTTTCGCGCCTGTTACAGTCCGCGCGTGATTCTATGTGTTTTTATGCCAGAAGGTTGTGTCAATGTCAGGCGTGCTTCATTCGTGCACTACACGTGCAGCCAGGTTGAATAAGTTTAAAATGATTTTGACAGAGTTTTCATGAACGTTATGTTATTCTGTTGTTATTGTTCATTCAACGTCATCAAATTTTGTGCAGTCCAAATTTGAAGGTGCAACTTTAACATCACTTCGTTGCTAATGGCGTTAGTTTGCTTCTCTATGATTATTGTTGTTTACTTTTTTGGATCTGCTGTTAGCGAAACGCACTCAGACCGCCTGTCCAGCTAGATGTAGAATCAGTACGAGTGTTAGTAGAAGTTGACAAATTGCGTTATGAAGACGCCTCCATATCAACATAATGAAGAAGAAAGCTTTTTGTTGTAGCGTAACAATACGTTGTCCAGTTTTCGTCGCTACACGCGCGCGAGATGCACTTCGAATTAGTGATACGCTTCAATTAAACTGGGTATTCTTTACGTTTCAGCTCTTCATGGTCACAGCACCATAGTTCGTTTTTTGTTGGAAGAATGCGGCTACAATCCAAAAGCGTGCGACGCGTCGGGCAACACCCCGCAGATGGATGCTAATCTTGCCGGTCATCCGGATATTGCTCAGCTTTTAGAAAGTCACTGACTTTCCTTCCCCAACCCTGACAGGACGTTTCTCATTTTGTTATTCGTGATCGCTTTGACCAAAGGAATCTTTTTATAACATATTTATTTTGGTTGCGCCACAACCGCAAAAAAAATGGAGCAATGCTTATAACTATCGTCTAAGCACTGTATGCATCAATTATTATTGGAAAGAAAGCCAAAATCGTCGACTTGTTTTGCTGCACATTTAGTGCGAATCTGATCGATACCTTGCTTTATGGAATCCGGGGTCCTTCTTAATTAATTTACAATTAATCTTTAGAAGACTGTCGCCGCACTTATTTCAGTGCCCTTTTACCGTTTTATTTGTTTCCTTTGTTTGGATGCTTCGATGCAGATAGTTAAGTAAAAATACAGTGGCTGCCTGTTAAAAAGAGAGATAAACTGAAGATGAAATGAATACACGTGTTCGGAGTTACAGTACTGGCTTCGAGTTACTAATACGAGGGACGGTTTTGTATATCATAATATATGACAATAAAGATCACCCTAAACAATCGAGAAATAAACAAAACTCGTACTGCACTGTAAGAAAACCGAAATCGTGCAGATCGAAACGGCTTCCAACATTGTCTGTTTCGTTCTTATTGTTTCAGTTTGGTGCAGTTATAAAAAGCCACGCCCGCAATGAATAAGATCAAAAGACAATTTTTTCTGGGGCAGACAGACAATTATGACCTTATCATGACACACAGCTACAAAAGGATATAGATAATTATTGCTGCTATTCTGATTTTCCACTTCTAAACTACAATCACAGGAATTCAGTGCCGTTTGCTCGTGCTTTTCTGAAGCTCCTTCTCGACATTATCAAGGAAACCCCGACAACTCCGAAGACATTGCTCGTAAACAATGTCAAATTCGGCATCCCCACCCTGTAAAAAAACAATGATGTCGATTACTGAATAAACTCTTTTAATTTCGTAGCTTTGCTGATTTTCTGCGGTTCACCTTTATTAACTTAAAGGTCGCCATGCGATCACTGGCATTTATCATCGCACTGTACAGTACGCATGGCTAAGCAAGATTTCACGGTACTTAGTACTACTTACGTAATATGGATCCTCAATAATCAGTTCATGTTGTGGATCATATTGCCCCAGCAGGTCCAATCGAGAAAGGAGATTTTTGGGAGCGTACCGCTTGATATTTCTGCAAGTTTCATACGAAGTCAATTACTTGCAGTTGCAGCACAAGGTATTTCTGTTTCCAACGTTTTTGCGGAATGCGGACAATGTGATGCGCGAAAACGCAAGGCATTTCAAACCGTATCATATCAAGCACAGATAATTAATCTGCTTACTTGAGATTCGTATGGTCCATTCCCATTATGTAGGCAAAATTTTGGAAATCTTCGGGGGTGAGCTAGAAAAAATTTTAAAACATTACGCTGCATAGAAAAGATTCGATTACTACTTTTACTTTTAACAGTCGCATTAAATTATTATGTGAAACAAAATTAAACAAAACAGTTAATGTATGGCATATTTACAGTAATTCAATTTTTAGAAGCCATGATTGATTCGATTAACAATAAAGAGCAAACGCGGTGGAAACAAATTCGCAAGTGCAACACAACTTGGAATACTATATACAAAAATATTTATTATGTGGGACGTTTATTTTTAAATAATTCCTTTAGCCAGTATCGAATTCCTTAGCCATATTTAGCCAGCGTCAGAAAGGTCGCGTGACGATCCTAACACGTTCATCAATTTCCGCTGACTCACCTGTCTGACAATATGAGTGGACGATAGGCCATGCCGTCTGTAAATAGAAAAAAAAACGCCACTTGAAAATTGTCGCAAAAAGATCGCCGAAAGATAAGCAATGTCAAACAAGACATCACTCAAGTATTTTCCCACTGATGCAAGTCAGCCAAGCTAAAATGATCTGCATGCAATCTGACGCGCGTAATTTACCTCAAACAAGCTTCCGCTCTGTTATCCGGCGGCTCACCAACGTGGTAATCAGCCGTAGCGGCACTGTCGATTACCCACTAAAGAAAATAACACAAGCGTAATATCTTGTTACTCAACTGTTTATTAATTTTATAAATGGATTTATCGAGAAATTACATCGTCCAATATTCCTCGCTCTTTGGCAACCTGTCGAAACACCGCTTCGGCAATAGGGGACCGGCAAATGTTTCCTGAAATTAGGAAACAACTAATATATATTAATGTGATCCACACAATCCAAAATGTTCATGCCCGCTGCTGCTGCGTTTTTGCTGTTGCGTCAAAAAAGTATGAAATTTTAAGTAACTACAAAAAAGTTTGAATTACACATTACCATCTGATAAACCATATTCTAACTGCTACAGCGAAAATAGTATTAAGCCTGTAAGATTTTCATGAACGGACCACACTCTTTAATTAATTTATTGGCAGCAGAAATAAACTTTCTGGTACCGCAAACGTCGAAATACTAATTGTAGGCTTGTGGTAAGATAATTTAAAAATATAGGACCATCAAAATAGTATGAGGATTTTGCGACGTTATGTCAGGACCTGCCGAGGCGAACGTATTCCTTCGCACTGACGTCACAGCGGTCAAACCCAATAAACAAATGATTGTGCACGGAATTCAAATCATCGTGCAAGATTACGTACATCGGCCAGCGCACAGACAATCTAACTCGCATGCTTTGAAAGCGAACAAACGGATGACTGCACTGATTCCTTCTCAGGTTTATCAGTAAACCCGTTAAAAATGGTGTATGCAATATTGAATGTGAAGAGCGTATCTTCCACATTTCTACTTTCAATGCAACTGTAACGAGAAATTCAGAAGATATCAAAATCCTTAGGCGAAAGCAGTGTAGAACAATGACTGAAACTACCAAATCTCCGCAGATTATTTTTCAAAAAGGTAAACATCGTAAACTACGCACAAGCTTTTCGAAAGTCTGCCAGTGTGTAAATCAATCTTGTTGAAATTTCAAAATCCTTAAGTTACACTAATAGCAGCAGCTGGTCTCGGAATCCTTCATTTCTACAGACGACATCCAACATTGGTAAAAATCTTCGCTGTTGCATTCCAAAATGCCATGCATGCAAAAAGGATGCAGTTCCATAAACGTTAAAATATCCGGAAGTAGTACCGAGGCACCCCGACTTACCTAAGCACACAAACAAGACCGATCGAGGATTGGAGGCCATTTCGTCCGTCTTGGGAAACAAACAGGGAAAACCTCGTCTCAGAAAACTATATGGTGACGATGCTCCAGGATCAGTGCGAGCGTTTTTGCCCATTTTGCAGGTGTGCACAGCAGCTTCCACACACCGGGATGCACGTAAGCGCTGTGCGCAGGCGGATACGATTAATTTCGAAATTAACTCTCAAACAAAACGCGGTTTGTTAACCGGTTGGTTATTCAAAATCAAATGAGATATTAAACCGGCATTTGAGAGCGTGACAATTATTATAAAACACTCGTCATCCGGACAAAAATATTATGGAAAACATATACACTCCCAAATTTTATAAGGCGTTCCGCAACGGATTAATGCTTGGACGTATGAATGTGATAAAACGCAAGATCAATACTGGCCGATACCAAGGGGAAAAAACTCAACACATGGTGCTACCGTGCATTGTCGCGCTATACAATGTCAATTGCGATTGGATCGAAGAGAGACGCGGCCGGAATTGTTCGGAGTACACAGGGATGTTACGGACCGGAAGGGAAGATGCTTGAGCCGCTGGCTGATGAATCCGACGGCTTTATACGATGTGTATTTTCACGATTGCACTCTATCGCGACGGATAGTGAAGAATGGCATTGACATGTGGAGATAGCGCCCACAGCTACACACGCAAATTAATGAGACAGTGTCACTCTCTCCAGCATCCGATATATGCGACGACGATGATTGGGAAGTGTTCAGCGCTAAAACTAGAACCTTCTCCTTATTGCTGTGTCATGCAAAATGTATTAACGGACAACTGAATGTTAACGAGATTTTTCTCCTGCCAACAAGCTGCAAAAAGCTTGGGATGCTAAAAATATATATATGTGGTTCTTCGCCGTCAGCCTGTATATTAACACCAAAGTGAATTCATGTGACGCATACCATCCGGGCGCTCTTCAGCGTCCGTTGGACTACTGTCACTCTGCTGCATCCACACAAAGAATCTCCAAAAAACCGTTGACGGCACGGCCATGTCTGATTTATGCTGATGTGGATCGTGCATGACCTTCCGGATATTTGGAAGTCAGCGGATGTGTGCGATTAAATAAACTGCCTAATGAAATCCGATCGTACTGTGGACTGTGGCATCACTTGCCCTGAATCATGATGCTATTATCAGTTTTTTGAAATTCTTTAGCCGGTATGATTTGTTTAGAAAAATTATGCCGCCCCTGGAATTTTTTTGTTCTGCTTATTGTTAGCATACAGATTATGTACGTCTATTAATCGTAAGAACCATTAGTAGTGTGGTACCAGTATATGTATATACGAGTATATCGTTAAATAGCCAAAAAAAATTCCAATACTTTTGAATATTTTCACATTCTTTTAATATACCGGATTTGTACCAAAATGCCAACTCTGTGCGTATTTAAGTCAGATTAACGCATAGTTACTAAAGGCAACAAACCAATCAGAACGGAAAATACACAAAAAGGATTCACACGCAACAGCGTACAACTACAATACACACAAATACAGTTTGTGCACAATACGACAAAACGCTAATATTGACACTAACATCTCATTGCAGTTATATTATTCCACTTTATAGTAGAAAATCACAATCAGATCAGAGAGAAGTCATCAAAAACATTCTGAGAACATCTGGAGAGGCATCGCAAGCGCGTCTCGGATTATTGCGTTCAGGGACTTGATTTGGTTCCCATCAATTCCGACCTGCAAAAATAGCATCCGCTGTACCCGATTTCTGACGTTGCATTATGAAAAGTTTTGCGAAACTCTAGTACTGGACAAACTCGTAATGGCACTTACTTTAGCTGCTTGTTTCTTGCTCTTTCGTAATTATTTTCTGGTTGTTCGCACTCGAATGACGCTAAACTCAATGCCGATTCCGAAAAAACCGGGTTGGTTAGCAGGTACCGGACCACTCGATTATTTTTGTCCATGGAAAACTGCAACATTTAGCATGCTTATTAAGATAGCGAGAAATTTCTACTGTGAAGCAGGAAATCCATACGACTACATTTCTCCAAGTGAATTACTGTATAATGTGTTTTTGCAAGGCATACGAGTAGGTACTGCATACAACCATTTGTCATATATAATATAATATTTGGCTGCAAGGGCCGCAAGGCTCTCATTTTTTCGCCCGAAAATCATACAATGTATTAGTATACGTACTCGTATACTTGCACCTATGCAATACAACTAAAGTCTTTACATACCACAGCCTGCTTCCAGGTTAGGAACTCTGTGACCTGCTTTGCCAGTTGCCAGAATTTCTGTTAAATAAGAAAATATTAAGCATGCTAACTGCATATAAATAACAAAATTTTCAAACAGCAAATATAACCTGATGAAATACAAAACCTGGATACCGGTATATACTGTACATATAGGTACCTCAAAATTTACGTGCCCGCTTTTCAGCCGATTGGCACATCCTTCGTTCAGGAAGTAAAGATCTTTAACGAGGAGAGAGAAAAACGGGACAATGATCTGGAATGAAACAATACAACTTGATACATTTTATTTGGACTTTGTAGCCAAAAAAGCAAAGGAATGTTCGGAGCACCCCAATTTCCTGGTGTTCCGGCTTACTTACCTTTTCGCGCTCAGTCGAAGCTCCTTCTGAACGCCACATCGCAGCTTTCAGCGTCGAACGATAACTATTAAAATTTCCGCTCGGATCCATCTGGTGCTCGAGAACTTCAAATTTCTGAACGTTGACCTTTGCCCATGTGCGTTTCAGACGTCTGACAGGACTCATATTGAGACCGGCAATGATCGCCATTAAAGAGTTGAAGTTTCCCAGATTAAAACATTCTTTGGCCACATCAATAAAGTAATCCATTATGCGAACTCGATGGCGTTTCTTCAGCTGCATGCAGATCTCCGTAGCTACCAAGTAGCTTAACCTGTTGAACCACTGTACATATGCTTCCAGATTTCTTGTGCGCTTCAAATCCCGCAAAGGCGTCTAAACATCGGAAACAAATAATTATCATTACCTTTCTTAACACCAGAGCAAACTTATGCAGATGAATATTACAAGTAATTAACCATACGGCGCGCGATATAATAATTAATCAATTAATACTGCACGTATAAATTATATTTTTTAAAAAGCTTTGCCAATACTTTGAATCACAAAATTCTTGCTACATTTAATTGTAATGAGTTGCGTTTGCACATACACTTCTAGCAATCTTCTTCGAAATTAGCTGAAAGTGCACTATTTAATTGCAGCGGAAGCCAGTTCAAAACACTAGTACGCAATTATTGCATACCGTTATCAGGCAAGAAAGAGCTTCTTAACAAGAATTCTTAACATAAGAAATACCTCTACAACTGAAGTATCTTTGGCAAATGCTTGGACAAATTCTTCCGCTCCGATATGGCGCAGTCTTTCAAGCTCAATGGATGTTAAGTAATGCGCTAAATGTTGCGGATTCGGACATAAATCATAAATATCAGTTGTGGGAATACTGCTAGCAATGCGGTTGGCCACTTCTTGGCTAATCTCCATTAAATGCTCCTCGTATTTCTCTAATGCCGACAGACGGGCCAATAAATTCTGCAGGATCTGTCCAACATCACGGCGCGTTTCCGGATCAAATGTAATGCAGAAATGCGTGATATCCTTTAAACTTTTCATCATCCGCTCATCACGGAAATCGTTGGAAAATGTGTCAGTCCATTCACTGGAAATTAATTTGCTTAGTGCATTGCGAACGTACGTGCTGAGCCGTGCCCTAAAGGGCAGAATGTGGTACGTACCCCAATAATCGGACAATATGCCGGCAAAATGTTCGCATGCTTTCGGCGCTGATGGACGATGGATACAAACTCTCATGTACGGTACAGGCGTGGACCACTTGCTCCAGCAGGAGATACGGTTTGACGAACAAACGGGAACTGAGCAAAAATGCAAACACATATGTGCGCTGCAAAAAAAAACAAATATCAGCCTTTTGTTAAGAGGAAACCAAGTTCCACAAAAAAGACAACTTCGTAAATTAGATGCGCTTAGTAAAGAAATCATGAAAGCAAACAGTTTTTAAACACCAGCATTCTAACAATTTGATGTGCACAACTGGCAGCGTTGCATTCAAAAGACTTATTAGTTTCCTATTATGCTCAAGGGAATATTGCCGCTAGTAAAATAGAAGGGTTTATATGAGCCTTTCCAGATTTAGAAATTGTCTAAATAAAATTAAGCATTTAGTGTAAAGCGATAATTTTCGAGTGGTGCATTTTACAATTAGTAGGGTCGAAAAATTAAACTTTAACTTACTTCCATGTAAAAATGCTCACTGATATTCAAAAGCAGCTTGCAATCTCGTATTTCACATAACCATTACATTAGGGCGGTAACTGATAATTATCAGCGCTTGAGGTTTTATTGTGATGAAATGGCACTATGTTTTATTGTGATGAAATGAATTATTTATTATTTTGCGTAAATGTCTTTTAGGGGCGTTTTCATTGTTGAACGTTGGGTAGTGTATGTGATACTATAATGCTCGAACATGTGAACTTCCGAGTGATTGTGGCCACATTAAGCAGCGGCTGGTAACGATTTTTCACCGCAAGATTTGACGGCGAAGAAAATAAATATGTGAACCAGTAATCCATCAACGGAAGTGCAGCTTTAAAGGGTTTGTCCTTTAAGAGATAGAGCAATGTATCATCTGTATTTGTATGTTGGTTGCGCACCGACGCGCAATCCGAGTTATGTAGCGCCGTCGAGTTTCCATGAAGACCAAATTACACAAACGATAAAATGGACAATCTGTGTGTTTGGGTTTCGATTACGACTTGTTCGTTATACCTTTCACCATGAATAAAATACCCGTGAAGTTTCATAATAAAACATTCACATCACTAACGTACCCTACCGCAAACAACCCCGGCATTTTTCATGGCAGTTGCAGTTAGAAATATTTAGTCGTAAAGCCCAGTGCCGTGTGGTCAAAGAGCGAAACCAAACAAAAAATTACAAATGTTACCAAAGCGTTAAATCGTGACAAAAAACATATGTCTATATGTCAGTCACAGTTTGTGTTTTATTGCAAACATCTCCACTTACATCTGGATAATAATCCACGCTGGGCATAAAATGATGAATTAGTGCGTCAAGCGTTCCGGAACATAATATGGAATGCTCGAATATCAGGCTTTGCTGTAATATATACAACAAATTCAGTCCGTCAGGCTGATTGCGTTTTAATCTCAAGCACAAAAAACCGGTGTTTTGCAACGGTTGATATAAAAAAATTAAACAGACTCACGTCGGATGATCGTTGGCTGGACATAGCAGAATCCGCGTCGGTGGAAGATCCACAGGATTCTTCCTGTGTTCCGCTGCTACTGCTTAAACTACACATGCTGTTCCAGCGGCGACTACTGTGCGATGAAGGGTTCTGTTAAAAGAAATAATACTACTCAAATAAAAAACACCGCAATTATACAACTTAGAAATAAAAAAACGGGCTACCACAACCACGTCAAACATCGGCATAACTGGCAACACTGATTCTGCGTATAACGTAACTTGAAATATATCAATCGTCACCGCGAACATATGCGCCCTATAGCTGCTGCCTCAACTGAAAACGTTTTGTAGAACGTTTGAGATCATGATTAGCGCAAATGCATCAGCAAAGATAACTCATTTATTAAAAATGTCGCAGAATGATTTAGAAACGGTGCGAGATCGAGTTGATATTTTCCCAGCATTAATCTCACTAGGTAGCCGTTTGTTGTCTTAACCGCTGATGACCCCGTGAATAAAAAAACCATCAAGAGAGATGTTGCACCACCTTTGATCAAGTTCATGACAGTATTAACGCGCCGCAGCCTAATGTGCGGCATAGTTCATATAAGCGTTATTAGTCTATTAATGACGATTTCGGCGGCGGGACACGCACCGGTAAATCACTAACTGACTAAATATAACCGCAAAGCTCGATATACGCTGTGTGAAATTGTGAAATACGAGCGCTATACTAATTTAAAATTATGTCGAATTGAGCAAATTTGTTTTAATTTACACGTGCAATAAAATCTACCGCATATGCAACTGTGAAACACTCTGCAATACTTCTATAAATACTTGATCTTATCCTTTATGGATTAACAACATTATGAACAGCGTACAAAGCAGAGCAACAAAAAGAAGGCACTTTATTTAATTCGTTGTTAAAAATATGTGATCAAATAAATTAATTAATCATGTGTACTTCAACTACCACAAGTACGCAAAGATCGTAGTCAGCTAATAACTTTTCACAGCATATTTCAAAACGATTTAAACTTTACTTTAAAATTACCTGCAAAATAGCGATGAAATCGGCAGATTATAATTTATAAGGCACAAAGACCTTTGAGTCAGAGGAAATGATGCACCACTAAACATGAAGATTTGGCTAATCCCTAATCACAATATCCGTTTATCGCAAGATAAAAACTGGGCCATACAAAATAAACTTTCTTAAATCCAGTCAATTTAGGTTGCCCATTTTCTCCAGCAAAATCTGAGTTTTAAAGGGATCGGCAAGCATGGTCCAAGTTTGATAAATGTACCAAGAGCAAGGATCAAGTCTCACAAATTAATTTTTCAATCTAGCTGCGAAACGAAATGCCTTACCAGTTAGACTGAGACGAATCACTATGGGAGCATAAAAGATAAACGAATTACGCGATGTTTAATACGACACTGATAAAAGCGACATTTTTAGTTCCACTTGAATGGCAATAGCCCTCAAGTCGTGCTTCTTGAAAAGCGTTTTTCTAAACAAAAACAACCTTCTTAAACAAACCTTTCGTAAATCGGCCAACTGTGCCATGCTTTCCACAGCGAGCGTTCCAAATATTGTCGGCTGAAAAGGCATACAATATACGATAGGTTGGCTTCGAGAAGTATGTAAGCCCAGATAAACTATGTAAACACCATGCATAAATATGTTGGTTAAACATGTACTCACCCGAGTTTTCGTTGTGTACTTCACACCAAATGCCGGCTGACTCCTATTGCTCTAGAAAACATTGCAACAAATGATTCACAGTTCACATCGCATACTATAGAGTGCAATCGATACCGTATGCGGTTAGGGGCTGGACAAATCGCTTATGAAAAAATCCTAGTTGACAACTTGTGAAATTAATACGTAATAATTGAGATATATGGTGGCTTAAAAAACAAGGAACCTTTTGAGAGAAGGCTGTCCAGGTGCTGCTATTAATACACCAGTTATGAGTGAAATAGGCCTGCATATTGCACAACAATGGTTGCGCGGCCCGAGTTCGGCCTGCGTTTGACAAAAATTCACGTCTTAAAAACTGGCATTTTTCGTACGAACGGCCTAACGTGTAAGCGAAAAATCTTGGAAATAACTCGCAACAATATAAATCTGCACAAAAACTGAGAATAACCAAAACCGTAATGGCTACGAAGACTGTCACCACGAAAAAAAATACGGACTGGCCGGATAATTTGGAAATTTCGGATCAACGCAAGAAACTCTGGAATGGCATACTTATATCGTTACTTATTATAAAAATTTGGTTTCAAACAATATCAAAATTATTATATTTAAGTTTGCGCGTTATAACTCACCGCTGCAAAATTGCAAGCGCCTGCATATAATCACGTTTGCATTCAAACGACAACAAAATAACTCACTTAAAAAACAATATCCGATATATACCGAATACAGTCCCCAATGATGAATTCCAGCATGCAAAATCGCTCGTGGACCATACAATTATGCCGTTCTATTTTACTTCTGTTAGTGAAAATTACAATGCAGAACAAGAAAACACCAGTGGTGGTCTGCAAACATAAACGAGTGCAACAACGCACTTATGAAAAGGTAATTCAACATAGGAGTCCGCGTGTTGTTAAAAATTTTGTCGGCATAACCGCATAAGGTAGCGGCGGCCGGCAGGAGCGAGAACGAACCAATGTGCAAGTCTTTTGACCAGGTAAGAACTTGAAGCATTATTAACAGAAATCTAATTAGCCGGAAGCCGCAAAAGAAATGTTTGATTTCTGACAGACATAAACCAAAACGCAGCAGGAGAGATGCAAGCTGGCAAATTGCAAGTTGCACCTTAATGCCCGCCGGCAACCGCATGTGCGGTGCAAGGTAACAAGGTACAGGTTTACAATTGTAAGTACTCGTATTATTAACGTATATCACAGTTCAATTGGAATGAAAGCATAATAATTGCTATCTGCCGCATGGTAACGTACTACGCAGTATACACACGGTTCAATATAAATTTGTACAACCACAACCTCAATACCCATTATTAATACTGTCATAAATTTTATTTGTCAGTACAATACAAAAATTTCAAACGTATTTCGGTTTATGATATCTCTGGAATGTGATCGGATCGCTAGTATCGTCAGCATCATTCGTATTCGCGAACTGGACATTCCTTTTCACACTTTAATATTGTAGTAGTTGTATTGAGAGAATTAAAGCTTTAAAGTCTGTGGCTATCGCAATAAATTTTGACACATGATGCCAAGGCTTGTCAGAATGGAAAATCGCCGACCTCTGGGAAAAACCAAAAACTGAAAAAGGACAATGAGGAATCACAATTTAAGGATAAAATATTTAGAATTTATTAAGCAAAAGTTTTCAACAGCTATTTACATTCATGTCTAAAATAAAAAATGCGAAAAATTTAAATCAAAATTCATGAATACACAGATTCGTCTGATTGTAGCATAATTGTACGCAGTATGCAATCGTGGACATACCGGCATGCATCTCTGTTTGCTTCCAGACACCACGTACTGCACTCTAAAAGTGCAAGTTTATTTGGCTTTTCCAATTGTCCGTGACGAGGAATTACTGACAACTGCGACCAAATCTTCCACCGCAACATTAAATTTCGCTAAACTGTTAAGCCAAACAAAAGCACAGCATAAAGGTATTTTTCGGCCCGGAAAAACTTTATTATTAAGATATAAAAAAGGCGGCTGCAGAATGGTCTTTAAATTTTTCCTAATAATAAAAGAAATTTATACAGATACTCTAATATAGATACAGTTGTATCTATGTGCGCAGTTACAGTTATTACGGTTTTAAAAGTAAGTATTCATTAGTTCATAATATCGTTATACATTTACGAATATGTAATCATGGTCTACTAAAGAAACCGTTTCAATAGTATACTACGGTATTGTATTCTTGTCAGTAATTGTATTTTACTGACAAGTGAATTATGTAATTTTGGTTAAGAGACAGCAGCTACCCACGGTAAGTTATGCTGCAAATATTCTTTTCAGTGAAGGAATGTGGGTAACAAATGCAAATATTCGCGACCGGTAAATGCATCAGAATGCAAACTTTGCATTGCAAAGCCAGAACTGTTTTACCATATGAAGTTTTCCGTATTTCTCGGTCTTTTTGATACACCGCCGTAACACCGGTGGCCTCCTACAATCTCCGGATACGATGCAAACGTGCAAGCAAGCGTTCTCACATTCGATAAAATTCTAATAACACGAAAGTATGTAATTATTAACATATTTTATTTTTCTCGTCTTCGGACTCAAACTGTCCGCTGCTATTTTCCCTGGTATCTGTAACGCAGCTATCACTACCGTAAAATCTTTTGTATCACCTACAAAAATACTTAATTTTTGCTTCGGAAGCAATTCAGTAGTCTTATTACAAAAATAACATCTCACGTTGCGCCGACACTGTCTGCCACATTGCACGGATCATTAAATTGATAGCTCGGCAGACAGCAGCAAAAATGCCGACAAGCGATACAACATTATCACAGACATCACTAACCTCCTACTTGCTACTGTTGATGTCCACAGTGCCTTGCAAAATTAATAAATCTTCGGCGCGGGAAGACAACCGTAAAAAATAAAGAAGCTGCAGAACATGATGGACGAAATAAAACTCTGCTTTCGAAACTGCAGGATTAAAATCTCACACTATGGACTGAGATTGGAAGTTACACTTCAGATATCAAACGACAGCTGCACTTCCCAGGCAAAATCTAATTGCAAATAAGAAACGAACGCAGGATCTTTAAAAGTGGACAGAAAACATTTAACCCGTAGGCAGTGGTTGTAATTTAGCATCCGACGGTGCAGATCTAGACACCGCGTGCGATCGCTTGCATCCAACGAGAGAAAACGCACAAGAAGATGGAATTATAGATATCCGTTTACCGAGTGTATGCTGCGATACAGTCAATAATAATCTGTCTCGCGATCTAGACGCGATATATAATATTCTTGTCTCTTAACGGCGCGATCTAACATAAAGCCCCTTTGGGTACTCTAGCAGCTGCTGGCATACTGTACTTGAGCTTATACTGGCACCGGTCATCTGTGGTCAGTTTACACACAGACATTTCTAACCTATTATGTGCCGTCAGACATTTGTCTGCTTCTTGGAAAGCCGTTCGTGGACCGTTTACTTGCATGTATTAATTTTCCTTGGTCCATGTAGTAGGTACAACAAGAGCGGAACAGGTAATTAGATAGTAATAATAATTACCTCGGAACAATGCATACGCTAATGTGGCGGTACACGGCGGACCATGCCCACGACGCTACCGATTAACATGTGCAGCAGATCTGGACAAAATTGCACTCGCACTGTCAAATCGAATGCGCATTGGTAAAGAAAAAAGTTACAATAATATGTACTTCTACGGCTACTACGGCATACATACATGGATTAGAATAGAATCTTCTGCAGTTCGTACACAGCCCTTGATTTATGTTAAAAAGCACTGGATAATTTTTTTGTCGTAAAAGTTAATTCATCCACAAAAATTACACTTGTTCACTGTAGGAGGAAGTTGACAAGAGTACGCAATACTCGATAGAAAACATTTTCGAAGGGGCATTGCTCTATAACGCACTGCCTGCAACGATTTCCAGTAAGGTACTGATCATTGCTCATCCTCAAAAATTTTTTATTTATTAAAAAGTGTAAGCATACTGAGAACATTTCTCAGAAGGTTATAGTAACATTAAATTTCTTAGTGCTTGTCAATGCTTACAACTAATTATTTTTTGGATGAACATCTCGCCTTTTGGTATTACAAAGTACTAATAAGTACTAATACAGTACGTAATCAACTACGTAATTATCGCCGCCTCTTCTCTTTTGATACAAGGTCCGCTTCGACTTTCCTCAACTACGCTGTGCTGAAACCACTTTAAACTACTGTAAATTTTAAACATTTCGATAAAAAAATCGAAACCTACGACATAGCGTGAATACAAAATTCAGAAGATGTATCTTGTGTTTACAAGAACCGTAGATGATGCTACATAACATCACATAACTGATAATCAGTAGTTACCTTTCGATGCTGTCCACCATTTCGAAGCATTCCCGCGGCAGCCTGTTCGTATTCTCGCAGTAATTGTTGATATTGTTGTTCAATCCGCCTATAAAAAAAGGCTGGTATAAATTTTGAAATATTGGTGATGGTTTCTCAACTGCCTTGTGTACTGATATTTTGTTGGACATACCCGATGTATAACTTCTGACGGTCGAGTTCCCGCTTCTGATAAAAGGAAATAAAATATAAAAAAATCACATAAAATGACAAAGAAAGTGCTTCCGGTCGGCTTCTACATACATAGGATACGTACAACCTAATCATGTAATGTAAAATCAGATTTTATGGATGCTCCCTTATTTTGCTGTAAACGTTTGTTTAGACGTCGGAAGTCGTGAAAACCGAACCGGAAGCTGAAGGTGCCGGTACTTACACCATAACCGTTGTCGTCTCGCAATGGATAGCGTTCAGTTAAATCCCGCTGTAATGCTCTTAACCGCCGCCTTTCCGCTTCCAGCAACAGATTCGTTACCTAAAATGTATCAAATAATCCATCCAGTTCACTTTAACAGTCTTTATGATCTTGGTTGTGCATCACAGTTAATGAATTTCCTCTGCGATATTATCCAGTTGTGCACTGTGCGATAGTATCCAATTAGTAAATTCTTTTCTGCCTACATACTCGTACGTATATGAGAGTACCAGATCACGCTAGCTCCATTAAAAATTATATATTTTTACTTTATATGTATTTACCATATCAAGAACGTGTTAGACGATAATTTTGATAATCAATAGTGACTACTCCAACACTTGATACTGACTAGTGACTACTCTGTAGCACGTGCAATTCATGTAACGATACTCGTTTCGTTAGCAGTCTGCCATATGCAATAATTCTGTGTAATGTGTCATAGATCGATATAAGCACATATTTTTTAAAATTTACCACAAATGTTGGTCTTCACAATAATTATCGTCACTAGTTTGGTTTTTAAAATTGTTGTTTTAAGTAATTCCATCATCGATAAAAACATGGATAAAGTTTTTAGGCACTCCATGTCTCCATTTATTAAAAATAGTTTATTTTTCTATTGATAGCAGACAGAAAAGCTATTACAAAAGCGCTATAACAAAGTGTGCGCAACTGGATTGCTGCTGGTTGTAACCTGTTCAACACATCTCATATGTCCAGATGGAGCTTAGCGCCAAATTCAACAAGGAGAGAATAGACTTAGTGATCCACCAGTATGGTTGTATTGTGCATTAATAATTTAAATCAACACAAACACATGAGGCACAGACATGCACTACACCCGGTGAATAGATATTCACTCACCTCCATTTGAATTCCAAAAATATCGGCACTTTTGGACGGGGGCGAGGGTAAAGGTGGTTTACCTTGACTGCCACGGACAACACTATCGGCTGACACTTCCGGTGGCTGCTGTACAGCGTCATCGTCCGCTGACATGGCGGATGAAGTGCTGGTTAACGACATTTTTCTTCCACCGAAATATAGACAGATTGGCCAATCAATGGAGAAACAATAACCGCCGTACAATGCCGTATAGGAAGAAACAAAATTCCTTTGGAAGCGGTTGGTGAAGAATCTTTCGTATTACCTACACCAGCACATTCAGACGGTCGTCAGCAATGCATGACGTTGAGGCGTTATGGAGTTATAAATCATTACAACGATTCCGGGCACAGTCATCGTTTTTTACCGGTTTGTTTGGAAATATTTTATGATTAAGAAACGTTCTGCTAACTTAGTAAACTAAGGCGTCAGCGAATGCAGCGGCAAAGGAAATATTTATGGATGGCTAATTTTATATTCACACCTGCATGGTACATGACTACCAAATACAAAAACGCGGGTGTCACCTATAGCTAGCATGTATTACACATATTTCAACCCAATCTTAAAATTAAAATATTTGAATATTTGACTTTAATAAAAATACTAAAAATAAGGACTACGCGGTTACTATGCTACGTTCTATAGGCACTTCTTGCTACACCGATGTCGCTTTAGACGGCATCTTAATTCGGCACTCGCAGTTTAGTAATATGCGTTACAGCAATTCTTTCCAAAGGAAAATTAATAACGAATTATACAACTGTACGAAAGTATAACAATCTGGGCTGTTTCGCAACATCATTTCCGTACAATTAAATTTAGGTGAAAGCTCATGATCAATGAAAGGTAACCAGCAAGAAACATTTTTATAGTAATATGATTACATCATTTGTGTGTGGTTGTATTGTTGTGGTCGGATGCGGTAATCGTCGGCGGCATTATAGTAAGGTGCGTCTGCTGTGCGTAACGTGTCTTTTTTTCGGTGCGATGAGTGGGCACATAAGATTGATGTGTAGCTTTGATTTATCGCCAGTCATGCGAAAAGAACCGCGTAAGTAAGACAATACACGAAGTTTAATCAAAATATATTCTCCATTGTGGTGATGTTATTCTGCTCCATAGACGCATGTACTGCTCATAGTGTGTGTTTTTTCTGTGGTGTTCTGCGTAAAGAAAGAATGCATACCGGGTTCAAGAAACTAGATCTCGACAGCAACAGTATCATGTCTATACTGAATCTTATAAAACAGTCACATCGTACGCTATTCTATGCTAACGTTACATCGACACTTATCATTTTTCATTGGAATTCATTCATGTGAAGATATTGGAAAAGTGTGGCAACGCGTCAAATCAGTGTATAATTAAGAGATGACAATTATATGTTGAGCATATTAACAGACGGAAATGCCAAAATGTTATTATTTAAAACTGCTATGAGAGTAACTGAATTCTTTTGTGGAAACCCCAAGAACCCGCTAAATGATATGCCATGCAGTTTGACAATAGCAAGCCTACTGTGCTACTATGCAGTATGCACAGCAACCAAAGTGCTCTCCCATATGCGTTTCAAATCTTTTTCGCAACAGACGCATTTCCTATCTCGTGATTTGTTTACAGAAGTTATAAAAAACTGTGCACTACAATGCAGTCATATTTGAAGACAACTCGACGATGTGCAAATAATCTTTTCGCCTTTAAATTTGTACTGACCGGAACGAAACGCAACATTACGAGTGTTAGGGTAGTTTTATGAACCGAAAAAAACTCGAACACACGAAAATGTATCGCGATAGCGATGCTTTTACGAATTGTTAGCAGAAATAGAATTTTTCGGGCGAATTGTTATCACTTTTGCACCTCTGCACGCACATGCGTTATCAAGACTTGCAACACCATTACAAGTATACAAGTTCCCAGGTTATGTATTTAGCCTGAAACATACCATGTACGCAACCGTAATATTTCATATTATTACTATTTAATTAATAATTAGCATTATCAACCTTACTAATAAAATATTAATTAAAATGGATTACGAAAATGGTTTACCAAACCTTGCACAGAAAGAAGCTAAAACATGCAGATGAATTGTAAAATAAAATTGCAACGAGGTATCGCTGAAAGCGAGGTTATTACTGTTGCTTTAATTATGATGACCTCGTACGCAGTTCGATATCTGAAACTGCACGCATTTAAATACACGTGATTAGCCATTATAGGCTATTGAAACCGTAAAGATAATGCAGCATCAGCGCTTATCAGTTAACAAAATTGCAAACAAATGTTAGCCGACTGCAGAAATAACTACGAAAAATTCTACTCGTAATTCTTCAGTAGACATTGGGATTTTAAGCAGAATCAGCTTTGCGTCTGTGATACTCACCTTACTAAAAAATTAGTCCCAAATTTTTATCAGTAGATATAATTGATCGGCAAGAGGTAATCCAAGGCTTAAGCAAAGTGGTAAGGTAATTTTACTGCATTCAGAATTTAATAAGGAACAAATTTTTCGTGTTATCGAAAAAATTCAGTATCTAATACTACGCACTGTACGCATTCCTGATTGTACTGTTGCGGCGGAGTACGTAGACTACAAAAAGAACGAAGTTCTCAAGCTTGGACAGTGTGATCTCACCGTATGTAATTGTTGCTTGTGTTCATCGTGACAATTATGTGCTGTTGACAAATTGGTATCGTACAACAGCAGACGTCCATACAACAAGTGGACACAAGTCACACAACCAAACAATCATCTCAAGTGGAGAATCGTGCTAAGAGGAAAGCATTTTGACACAAGATGAGCAGTTGTCCAGTGTCAAGTAAAAAACATTAAACCGTCAGCCTTCAAGGTAGACACTAGACATGGAATCGTCCAGTCGTGCGTCTGCATTTTCTCGCTGGTTAATGCCCATAATGGCCCCATATTTATAATCTAAATTTAATTAAAACCAGCTGTCCTTGACGGAAACTAGCTGCTAATCGCGGGTGGTAATTTAGACATACTGCTAATAACTTTTGAATTTCAGTCGGTTTAGCGCATCTCATTCCTTTGCTTATAATAGCTGGTCATACAGTCATACTTTATGCTTCTATAAGTATAATCGTACTTGTAACTTATAAGTAATTATTACTTCTACTACCACGTTCTTTTAATTATAATTATTATAAATTTTTCTACCCCACTTTTTGCGAAACTTACTGCATAAAATGTCCTGTCCGAAAACTACAAGTTCCAAAGCGGATGGATTTAATAAAAGTGCAGTAGGGAAATTCTTTTTGCGCTGAATATAAACATTAGTGACAAATATTGTAAGTAACACTATCTGCGTAGATAAAATCCCTCAGACACACAGTAGCGAATATCCAGTATAACGAAATGACCAGGGATGGGCGATAACTTATGTAGTTTGCATAATAAACAGTAATCAAAATATTTTCTTCGCACCTGGCATATTTTTTAAAATTAGATATCAGCACTGCCACCAGTCGATAACAGTATTACAATAGTAAACGGTTAGTAGCTGGGAACCTGCGAATATTTGTCAATCATTGCAACGTTAATCGATAAATTGTTGCCGAAAACATGGAACACCTATGAATTGATAAACCGTAGGCTATATTGGATAAATGCGCCTCGTTGCAAGGTTAAGCAGCTGGACGTATATGTTGCTCATCGAATTCCAAGATATCTTGAGGACAGCAAACAAGTATCTACTCACGATAGAAATCCAGGAGAGATGCAATGATAATCCGTATGTCATAAAGAGCGGGAGGAATTTATGCCCAACAATCTGCCGGCGGGTCAGGAGTAGATATCCAAAGCAGTTACAAATCAGCATATCCACATTCCCTGATATAGTTAAATTTCGCCAATCGAAGTTCCGGTAAAATATTTCAACCAGTTATAGTTTGTAAAGTTACGAAATGTGATCACATTTACGTTCTCCCATTTTTTATGCATGCCATGAGAAGATAAATGTAGCATAAATTGTATAAAACGGTTGGCTGCTCTGGCTAGTCTCTTACACACTCACAGTTATAGTAAACAAGCTTGTAATTTCCACACCTGAATGTACATGCACTGGAAAAACGTATATAACGACATATAATTGCGACTAGGACACGACTGATAAACAACTGGTATTTAGACTACTCGACATCTGATTGGACATGTATTTTGGTTAAGACATCCGTTCTTGTTGAGTTGTTGTCGTTCATTAATTACATCACCCCGCCGCAACGAAGCATAGCGCATGATGCTTCGGTTTGTTTGATTTCTCGTTGACTTCACGATTCTTTTCTTTTCGGCCATTGTGTGAACACAAAACCAAAGTTAAGCTTTTTCGTAATAATTTTAATTTTTTTATTATACATGTAGTTTTTGTGCACTGCAACTAAGATCAAGTGTGAAATATACGCTTATATCCGAATGTTAACCTAGCTAGCTATACATGCATGGCGTTTTCACAACTTCCGAATTATCTAAAACTTTACCTTGCGATTTGTCGATAATTAAATTTTTTGACTAATGTTGTACTAATGTTTTGACTAATTTTGACTCGTACAATTATACTGTTCAGCATAGGTTTACAGCTATCTCACCTTACCACATTGAAAGTGGCATAATTAACAGTATGCGTACTAATCCGCTTTTTAACAAGGTTTCCAATGATTTAATGGTTAAAATTAACTTATAAACGTTAATAAGTGGTTTTAAATTTAATTACTGATTAATTAAGTCCCACGACGAGTAAGCTCTATGGTAGGGTAGAGATACAGTACATTATTGTGTATTATACATATATATAAAGTTAATTATACTGTTTTATACATATAAATTTATCCAGGGGCTTTTTTAGACAACACCCCACACGCCAATCGGTTTTTTGAATAAACCGATTGCAGATTCGGAATCAGCGAATTTTTTCGATCTAGAAAAACTATCCCACTTCGAAAAATAAAATGTCGCCCCTGAGGGGTCCATCGCCCTACACGATACCGCCACCTCCGGCGGTCGCAACAGCGCCTCGGGGGGAAATGCTGTTTTTCGGGTTTCCACCACTGATTCTAGTCAAACGAGGTGCGCTGATTCAGAATCTACCATCAGAAAAATTGTAGATCCACTCATTTACCAGATTTCCAAGTTTTTGAGACAGTTCTAAACCTGGTGTGTCGAGGTCCCCGAAACTTGCGACTGAGTGGCTTTACAATCTTTCTGATGGCAGATTCCGAATCAGCGACCTCTTTTGAGTAGAATCAGTGGTTGAAACCCGAAAAACAGCATTTCCCCCTGGGGCGCTGTTGCGACCGCCGGAGGTGGCGGTATTGTGTGGGGCGCTGGACCCTTCAGGGGCGACATTTTATTTTTCGAGGTGGGATAGTTTTTCTAGATCGAAAAAATTCGCTGATTCCGAATCTGCAATCGGTTGATTCAGAAAACCGATTGGCGTGTGGGGTGTTGTCTAAAAAAGCCCCTGAATTTATCTATGTTATATAGATATATATTTATGCCCCGCCAATAAGCATATGCTACGTCATATAAGTCTATGAATGTTTCTGAGATAGTACTGCGATTATTAAACATTATTAGAAAAACTCAGGATTTTAAATCTGCGGTCGATGGGCACTAAGGTTATTGGTGTAATTCCCACCTCGATCGGGGATCCAGCTTTCTGCATGGAGTCCAATTTCAGCATCGGAAAACATTGCATTGTTTGCCCAACGGTATAAAATGAATAAAAGTGAATTAAACTTTTTCCAAGATTAATCTCACAAAAGTAAATTTAATCTACCGTAATTATCGAATTAGAAGCCCAGGGTTACAAATATTTCAAATGACCCACGGGGTGGGCTCCAATTACGGGCATGGGCTTGTATTTAGGGGGGGGGGGGCTTCAATTTTTCAAACCAGCTTTTGGCATTTTTTAATATGGGCTTTACGGTATTTAATTAAGCCCATGGGCCTCTATTTCGGGAGGGGGGGGGGGGCTTATAACTTTCAAACAACCTTGGGGGTGGGCTCTAATTACGGGGGGGGGGCTTGTATTTTGGGGGGGGGGGGGCTTTTGTTGGGCCAGTCGCTATGGCAGCCTACGAGCAGGCAGCCAGCGACAGTCCCGCTTCCGGTGTGCTGACTCACACCGAGTCGCACTCGCTGTCGAGCGCTAGATCGGCCTCGACTCAGGCAGCTTTCCGCCCAGCCTTACGTCTCGGCCAATCACCGGCCTCGATGTAGGCGGAGCCACGCCTCCTTTCCACATCTCGGCCTATCAGCGTTCGTTCGCTCGTGTTGGATCTGCCCAGTATGCCGCATAGGCTTTTCCCATGTTACGGCTCGATGTGCCGTTCATTTTGGATTCACTAGCTGACATTCGGTGATTTACATGTTACAGCTCACATCGAGCCTTTGTGTTTGGGTTTTCTGTACTTTATTGCTATCACAATAAAGCCTTCTCTCACTATCGTGAGCCTTTGTTCGCCAGCTGTCACATGATAGCATATCGTTGAGTTTTTCCTTCAACGGACCCTTTAAGACCACGGTGTAGACTTACATCCGTAACGGCCGACGTGAAGACAGGGGAGAACCAACGGTTCCCATCCCCATCTGATCGCCGCCAGCCAGAACGGTCTGGTCTCTTTTCTCTCTCTTGCGAGCAGAAAGCCTCGGCAGACCCTCTTCTTACGCGTGGACGGAACGTTCCTCGCAGAGACAACCCTCGGACGGACTTTGCCCGGGTTGATTAGCGGTAACCGCGGATCCCCGGACGGAACGGACGGCACGGACCCAGCGGACCCTCGCGGACCCTCCCAACCTCAACAATCGGGGTCGCCTTTGCCTTAAGTGGCACCCGCAACTTTAACAGCGCGGGATTTACCGGATCAACAAGCGGACTCACGTGGATTTACCCGGTAAATAGGGTCGACTGACCCTCGGTAAGCCTCGTAGAGCCTCTAAAGACCCGATATAGCAGGGCATTTTCATCTTTCACCGGACCAAAAGTAATTTGGCCGGCTAAAACTTATTTTCACCCGGATAAAACGGGCTTAAAACATCTTTTTACGGGTAAAAATAGGGTTAGCCAGCCTTACTAGGCCGGACCCTCGAGCCTCGGTGTAGACCCTCTGAGCCTCGGTTATCAACCTTTCTGAACCTCTAGAAAATTAAGGGAACTAATTTCCCCCGGCTAAACTAATTCTTGGCCGGCTAAAAAATTTTTCTTGAATTTTTCTTCATTTTTCGGAATTTTTCTAAAGTGGAAAAATAATTAATTCAAAATTTAAAATAATTGTGACGCCACGACGGCCGATTTACCATATTAAAATCCGACCAATCAGGATAACGGGGAGATTCCCTATGTTATAAGTCCGTAGTGAGTCACTGTTTTTTGGAATTTTGCACGCGGCGCGCAGAATCGTGACGTAGGCAGTAATCCGCAAGACCACTTAACGGTGTGTGACGTCATAGCGGTCAGTGCTGTAGTATAGGACGTACGTAAGCTGTATCCTGTATTGACAACAGTACTGAGTTGCAAGTAGTACAAGCCCACCCACACCATCACCCCTCACCCCACCGGACCTCTGCCACCCCACCGGACCTTAGCCCCCCCACCGGGCCCTCGGACCTTCAACAGGCAAAAAGCCTCATCAGCTTCGGACAAGTCCCCAATAGGGATAGTCTGACTTTTTGGCCGAAGGGACAACCCGGAGGCTACTTCACAGCTCCCATAGAGCTACCACCGAAGATGTCCGGTCGAGAGAATCCGTACGAACGGAAGTTCGACCAAGGCTACGCCCGACGTGACTATGCAGGCGGATACACCTTCCGCCATGCAGGCCCGGGTAGCGACCCTCACTCGTCGGACTCCAACCAATCGAGTAAGTCCGGCAAATCCAACCAGTCGACCAAATCGGCCAAGGAGAAGCGAGATGCGCGGATCCTTGCGAACGACTCCACCCAATCGCCGGAGGATAGCTTCGAGACGCACACGACCGGACGTTCCTCGAGCTACCACAGGCTGAGCCGGAAGTTCTGCATGACCCAATAGGTCAAATTGCGAACTCCGAGCCTGCGGCTGGACTTGTGCACCCAACAGGTGCCTCGCCAGTCTTCTTTCCGGCCATCACCCCGGACCATGGAGCCTCGAGCCCGGCGCTAAGTAGCTCCGAGGTGTCACCAGACATGGGTGACCCTGTGCAGCCCCAACAGGGCGGCATGGCTGGACCGAAACCGAGGCAAGGCCAGATGAGCCCGAGCCAAATGAAGGGTCCGGCATCACCGACTCGGGGGGTGACTTACAAGGCGGGTTCACCGACTAAGTCCCCACTGACCCTGGCTCAAAGCCCCAAACCAACGGGCAACAACCCAAAATCTTCGGACAACAACCGGAAATCGACGTCGCCGGACCCGAAGCGACCTTCGGGGACTCCGAAAGCGACCACACCGGACCCGAGGACTCTTACCGGGACTCCAACTCGGACTTCGAACTCATCGAAGCCGACCTCGGGGACTTCAAAATCTTCAACGGGAAGGTTGCAGTCGGCTAGAACCTCGAACACCGAGGCTCGAGCCTCGGACACCGAGGCTCGGACCCCCAACACCGGGGCCCGGACTCCGACCCAACAGGTTGGAACACCCAAGACCCGGCCGGCAACCCCCACTTCCTCGGCTAAAAAAGCCGTTTCCCCGGTCAAATTCCGGATTTCGTCGGTTGCAACCTCCACGGGCGAGGTTGAGGGTTCGGTTACCGAGGTTAACTTAACCTCGGCTGGCGGACCGTCATCCCCGAAACCCAAAACCCCCGGCAGTGAACCTACGCCAGCCCGAGCCAGCCGGATTGAAGCCTGCACTCACAGCTGAAGTCGAAATCGGCTTCACCGAAGGTCGCGAAGCCAACCTCGGACCTTCCGGCCACACCACCGATGTTCGAACCCTCGAACCTCGGGGCTGATAAGACTCCATCACCGACCGACGATGTCTTCGACGCAACCGTGTTACCCAATAAGGTGACCGAGCGTCCGGACAGCAGAAAGGGCTTCAGGTTTCCGTCACCGAAGCAACATCCAG